GAGTGAACCAACAAATGAAAGCTCTTTCTCTCTCTGACTTTGAAATAATTAGGTGAATTGTTTGTTTTAGTCAAAGCAAGTTAGATTGGCCTTAGTGTAGCCGTGATGCCAAGCTCAGTAACAGGTAGGACAGAGGAGGGCCTGTCCAGGGAGGTGAGCTGCTGGGCTGGGGCCACTCGTTACCCTGTAGCCTCGGCAGACCTGCCATCTGCACACTGTGCTCTCAGGCCTGGTCCCTGGAAACTTGGGGATGCCACAGGGTAGCCTCCAGTGACACCCCTGTTACCTTGCCCCCTTCCTCACCTAGGAATTCAGATGGCAGCCACAGTTTGTCAGCTGGGGGGAATGAGCCTGTGCGTGGTGGGCACCAGAGAGCTGAGGGTCTGAGGGCAGTGCCCATGGCTGCTGGCCGTTGCTTGCTTGTGGTTCTGAGTCCCGGTGGGCTCGAGTGGGCTCATTTCCCACATTTTGGCTTCATAAAAGGAGTAGGATGTTGTTTATAAGATTGGAGTTATTTCTTACATGCTTGACAGGATTAGAGAGTAACTCTATTTAAATCTGGGAAATTTCTTTTTCTTTCTTTCTTTCTTTTTTTTTTTAATTAGAAAGGCAGATTAGCTTCACAGGGTTAGGAGATACAGAAGGATCTTCCATTGCTGCTTCACTCAGCCACAGCCATCAGAGCTGAGCTGATCTGGAGCCAGGAGCTTCTTCCAGGTCTCCCACATGAGTACAGGTCCCAAGGCTCTGGGCCGTCCTCCGCTGCTTTCCCAGGCTATGAGCTGGGAACTGGATAGGAAGTAGAACAGCCAGAATAAAAACTGGCACCCATATGGGGTCCTGGCACTTGCAAGGTAAGGATTTAGCCACTGAGCCATTGTGCTGGGCCTACTTGGAAGATTCTTTTGGGAAAGTTTTTAACTTGGAATATGATTGTTTTATTAGCTTTAAGACTGTGAGTTCCCAATTCTTGGGTTAGTTTACAGAAGTTACATTTTTCAGGCCCGGCACAGTGGCCTAGCGGTTAAAGTCCTCGCTTTAAACACCCTGGGATCCCATATGGGCGCCGGTTCTAATCCCGGCAGCCCTACTTCCCATCCAACTCCCTGCTGTTGTCGTGGAAAGCAGTCTAAGGATGGCCCAAAGCCTTGGGACCCTGCACCCACCTGGGAGACATAGAAGAGGTTCCTGGATCCCAGCTTCGGATTGACTCAGCTCCGGCTGTTGTGGTTACTTGGGGAGTGAATCAATGGACGGAAGATCTTTCTCTCTGTCTCTCCTTTCTGTACATCTGACTTTGCAACAAAAATAAAATAAATCTTTTTTTTTTTTTTAAGATCTATTTATTTTATTGGAGAGAGACTTGGAGTGATTCACTCCCCAAGTGAATGCTATGGCCGGTGCTGCACCGATCTGAAGCCAGAATCCAGGAACTTCCTCTGGGTCTCTCACATAGGTATAGGGTCTCAAGGCTTTGGGCCGTCCTTGACTGCTTTCCCAGGCCACAAGGAGGGAGCTGGATGGGAAGTGGGGCTGCTGGGATTAGAACTGGTGCCCATATGGGATCCTGGCGCATGCAAGGCAAGGACCTTAACCATTATGCTATTGCACCAGGCCCAAAAATAAAATAAATCTTTAAAAAAAAAAAAAAAAGAAGTTACATTTCTGTAGGAATGTGCCTTCTGCCTGCATCTCCAGCTCCCTTGTGAAGGAGTCGGTTGGTCCCTCAGTGTGTCCTTTTGGTCCTGGTGGTAGCAGATTTTTTTTTTGAAGATCAGGTGCTTGGCCTCAGATTTGCTTTTTTTTTTATTCTTCTTTACTATTTGGCCTCAGATTTCAATCTTTCCTTTCTGATGTTTATTTACACTGTAGGATTTATCTTTTAGTTGTGAAATTCCATTGGTTTCTCATCTGACCAAGTGTTAGCCTGAGCTATTTAACTTGTAAATGGTCATCTTTGGTAGTCATTTCTGTTAGCTTGCATGATGTGCAGCACCGAGGGGAGTGTGCCGGTTGTTGAGTTGTGTGGGGTGGCAAGCATGTCACCCGCAGAGGGCAGCACTGGACATGACCTATTGCTTGCCAGGCCCACAGGCCGGAGGCTGTGGAACCAGGTGCCCCCGCGCTTAGAACCCCCAGCCTTTGGAACTGTGAGAGCTAGACTGCTTGATAAATTACACAGCCTGTGCTGGCATTCACAGCCACACAGCGCCTGGCAGCGGTCACCGGAGGCATCTCTGTGGTGTGCAAAGCCCGGGTGCCCTGCCCGGCCTGACCCTCACCGTGTACATGTATGTCCTTGGTGTGTGCTTAGCTTTTCCCAGAGATGCTGTGTGGCTCAGGTCTGCTGGCTGCACCATCTGCTTTCGTCTGAAAAGTGCTGCCTCCCCATAGTTACACCTTTCCACTTGAGACATGTTCCATTGGGTCTAGGATTCCTTGCTGAAAATTGAGGCTGTTAGGATTTGGGAAGTATTGGGGTCCTGTCTGTTTTTGTTTTCCCACAGTGGCTGCTGTGTGTGTGTGTGTGTGCGTGTGTGTGCTCACTGAGTGGCTGCTATGTGTGTGTGAGTGTGCACTCACCGAGTGGCTGGTGTGTGTGTGTGTGTGTGCTCACTGAATGGCTCTGTGTGTGTGTGTGCACTCACCGAGTGGCTGTGTGTGTGTGTGTGTATGTGTGTATGCACTCACCGAGTGGCTGTGTGTGTGTATGTGTGTGTGTGCTCACCGAGTGGCTGCTATGTGTGTGTATGTGTGTGTGCACTCACCGAGTGGCTGTGTGTGTGTGTGTGTGTGTGTGTGTGTGCTCACTGAGTGGCTGCTCTGTGTGTGTGTGTGTGTGCGCTCACCAGTGGCTGTGTGTGTGTGTGTGTGTGCTCACCAGTGGCTGTGTGTGTGTGTGTGCGCTCACTGACTGGCTGCTGTGTGTGTGTGTGTGTGTGTATGCACTCACCGAGTGGCTGTGTGTGTATATGTGTGTGTGCTCACCAAGTGGCTGGTGTGTGTGTGTGTGTGTGTGTGTGTATGCACTCACCAAGTGGCTGTGTGTGTATATGTGTGTGTGTGCTCACCAAGTGGCTGGTGTGTGTGTGTGCTCACTGAATGGCTCTGTGTGTGTGTGTGCACTCACCGAGTGGCTGTGTGTGTGTGTGTGTGTGTATGTGTGTGCACTCACTGAGTGGCTGCTATGTGTGTGTGTGTGTGTCTGTGCGCTCACCAGTGGCTGTGTGTGTGTATGCGCTCACCGACTGGCTGCTGTGTGTGTGTGTATGTGTGTGTGTGCTCACCGAGTGGCTGCTATGTGTGTGTGTGCTCACCGAGTGGCTGTGTGTGAGTGTGTGTGTGCGCTCACCGAGTGGCTGCTATGTGTGTATGTGCTCACCGAGTGGCTGCTATGTGTGTGTGTGCTCACCGAGTGGCTGTGTGTGTGTGTGTGTATGTGTGTGTGCTCACCGAGTGGCTGTGTGTGAGTGTGTGTGTGCGCTCACCGAGTGGCTGCTATGTGTGTGTATGTGTGTGTGTGCTCACCGAGTGGCTGTGTGTGAGTGTGTGTGTGCGCTCACCGAGTGGCTGTGTGTGTGTATGTGTGTGTGCTCACCAAGTGGCTGTGTGTGTGTGTGTGTTTGTGTGTGTGTGTGCTCACCGACTGGCTGCTCTGTGTGTGTGTCTGCTCGTACCTCTCCCGGGCCAGCCTCCGGAGGCCGCCTCAGCAGCCTGTCTGCTCGCCCGTCCCTTGCTGTGTGCGGGCTCTTTGCTGTGTGCAGTGACTCGGTCCCTGTCCCACAGAGGACTGAGCTGTCTGTTCTTCCTGGCACGTGTGTTTATGTTCTTGGGTGACAGGCACACACATGTTCATACACACATATGTATGTGTATTCATGCATACTCGCTGAATCATGTTACAGTGTGCACGTGTACGCATGCATATACACATACATGTGCTGTGCCTTCACATGTACACGTCCATTCACCGAGAATAACATGCGCTTCATGTCTGCAATGCACATGCATGTATGATGCACACGTGCACATGTGACATCTCCATGTGCATACAGCTCATGGGACAGTCATCTCTGCTCTCTGACACTCAGCATGCCCGAGCTCCTCTCAGTGCCTTCTCCCACACTGGGTCGCCCAGGGACCCTGGTTCTGTTCATGTGTTCCATGCACGGAGACGCAACCTCGTAGGCCAGGTGCGGGAGCCCGAGCTGAGCCCGTGCTGTGGAGTAGGAGTGTGTAGCTGGCCCGTGCTGAGCCGCACCCCACCTGGGGCCCAGCTCGGGGATGTCCTCCTCTGAGCTGATCTGGCCTGCTTCCTGTAGTTTCTTAGAGATCCTGGGCCATTCAGGCTGCTAGTTCTTGGTTTGTCCCATGAAAGAAGGGTTTCCCCAGATCTCAGCCTGCCGTCATCTCTGTGGGGTTGGGGAGCGGGAGTGGGTGATGGGCTGGTTTCAGGGGGCTGTGCTGATACTGCTCTGAGTATAGAGCTCACCCCCTGCATTGTCGAGGCCTACCACTGGTGCCCCATGAGAGGGGGCACAAGGAGGTTGGCATCTGTCTGGGGAGTCTCAGAATGCAGACATGCCCCCCGTTCCATGCGGGGCAGCTTTTCACAGCTCTTGGCATGTCAGTGGTGGGCGCCTGTTTCCACTCCCTGGTGTCTCCAGGCCCGAATGGCGCTCGCCGTGCGCCATGCCCAGGCCTTTGCCCATGTTGACTGACCCTGCCAAGGGCCGTTTCCACTAGACTGTGTGCTTTGCCTTCACAGGGTACGTGACCCAGAGGGGCTCTACCCAGCCCGCCTGCTTAGCCTCCCAGCTCCTGTGCTGGATGGCCCAGGGTGGCAGGCGGTGAGCTGTCACTGGTGGCGCTGCCCTGCCAGCGCCCACTCAGGGCTGCTCTCGGCATCAGACAGGGGGTCTGAGTCAGCTGTGATGCGCCTGCAACCCTGGTTTTTGACCAGTGGCCTGCGACCAGGAGCCGTTTGTTTTCTCTTTCAGATGGACACAGAGATCCAGGCCTTCTTCCAGGGCGTGGACAGCCTGTGCAGGAAGTACGCTCAGGAGACGGCGCAGGTGAGTGGTGTCCCCGGCCCTGCAGTGTCTGCTCAGATCAGGTCACTCGTGTTTGTGTTTTTGGGGTCACAGTCAGTGCTAAAGTGAACTCACCTTCCAGAGACTGTCACGTGGGTTGTTGTGGTTAATGCGAGGAACAGGGTTAGTGCTACTTTAGAATGAATTAATAAAGATTTAAAATTTTTTCTCAGTCTTGATTTCTAATGGGTGGGTACTGACAGATAAGATCCACCCTACGCAGCTCTGTGGGCTCCTCGGTAACTTTCCGAGCTGGTCTGGGGACGGGCATGATGTGTGCTTACGCCACCATATGCAGCGTTGGCGTGCCATGTCGGAGCGCCCACGAATCCTGGCCACCTCTCTTCTGATCCAGCTCCTTGCTTATGTGCCCAGGAAGGCAGCAGATGATGGGCGAGTGTTTGGGATCCTGCCCAAACGTGGGGACCTGGATGGAGTTCCTGGCTCCTGGGTTCAGTCTAGCCCAGACTTGGCTGCTGCAGCTGTTTGGGGAGTAAACCAATGGACAGAATATATTCTCTGTCCCCTCCTCCCTTTCCCTCTGTTCCTCCCTCCTACTTTTGTAGCTGTGCCTTTCAAATAATTAAATAAAAGCTTCCTTGGGCTCTGGCCAAGGAGCCTGCCCTAGGACAGCATTCCAGAGTCTCCTGAGCAACTGCCCGCCTACCCTGTGGGCTCAGGGCTCAGGTCAGTTACAGCTTTGTATCTGCGTGACTCACCCAGGACCCCTTGTATCTTAGAGCCAGGCCAGCAGCACAGTGGGTTGGGGCCTCAGCTCTAGTGTCGCCAGCAGCCCGCACACCTGAGTTCTTTGTCCTGCAGGCTGGTCCTGCTCAGGCCTCTCCTTCTTGGGCCAGTCTGCAAGCTTTGCACAAAGCACACCTGTGCTGGGGAGCCCCTCCTGGCTCTGAGGCTCTGGTCCCACACTGGCTGTGCTTCCTGAACCCTAGCTTCAGCAGTCACTTCATAGCCATGCTCCTGTGTCAGTGTGGAAGGCTCTTGCTGGCAACGCCTGCCCACTCTGAGCCACAGCCTGTTAGTTCCCAGGCGCAGAGGCAGTGGTACCTAGGCTCTCCATCAGCCGTTCAGGTCCATCCTCACAGACCCTCCTGAGAAATCAGGGCTCCCAGCAGCCACCCCTCGCCCCTGCCCAGCGAGCCTTCCCTGGGCCCTCGTCCTTGCTGCAGCAGGCCTGCCTTGCCTAGGGACAGTGCCATGGATAAGCCCCAGTCGGCCCTAGAGGTCTGCTCTGCGGAGGTCCGTCACGCCCGTCTCAGCAGGCCTGGCTGGCTCTGAGGTCGCCTCTAGGAAGGGCAGTACCGGACCCACAGCTCTGGCTTCTCCTGCTGCAGTCCTGTGGTGGCAAAGCCAGGGTTGGAGCCAGCAGGTGTGTGGCTGTCCTCTGGCCGTGGTGGGGAACATAGAGCCAGGCCAGCCACTGGACATGTGTTTGCCAGAGGGGTTGGGGAGGTGCACTGTGGGTCTGGATGTGGTGCTGTCCTCACCCTACCCAGGGCGCTACTGAGAGGGGCCCCGGCCCCAGTGCTGGGGTGTCCTTTGCAAGTGGCTGCGAGTCTCAGTGTCCCACTTCTCATCTGGGTCCTTGTCTCCCAACGCATGGAGCTTGGGGGCCACTGGTGTCCTCCTACCTACCTGGAGTCAGGTCTGCCCCACCTGTACTGGACTGGTGAGCCCCATGGGCAGCTGCACACTGCTGTCCTATGACTGTGGGGTTGGGGAGAAGGGAGGCAGATCCGAGATGTCGACTGGACGGTGGTGCAGCCCCAGCCAGCCTCATGCGTGGGCCACGCACTGGGAGGGACAGAATGGCAGGATGCAGAGGGCAGGGGCTGGCAGGGAGGGAGCCTGCCTCTGCCTGGCGGTCAACCCTGAGCCCAGCGCCGAGCCTCTTCTGCTGACCTGCTCAGTGTCCACAGCTGAGATGTGTTGTTTTCTTAGATTTCGGAGTTCCAAGAAAAGCACAGGAAGAGATTATTAGCCTTCTACAGAGAAAAGGTAAATTGGCTTGGCTTAGTTCCTTTTGAATTCTTTAACCTTTTTTGTTTTTAAACCACGTTTATTTCATTTTATGACACAGCTTCATAGGCTCTGGGATTCCCCCAGCCCCTCCCCAAACCCTCCCCCCATATTGAATTCCTCCAAATTGTTATAGTACAGATCATAGCCAGTCATGATTCCTTCATTGCGGGAATAGCCCATGCAGAGTCTAGCATCTTATTGTCCAGATAAATTCAACAGTTTCATTGGGAGACCACCCTGGGTTTGAAAGTAGAGCTGGCAGAATATCATCTCTGATGAAAAGCCACTACACAACTTCAACAACAAGTTACAACATCATGAAGTTAATTGATGTGGTATTGAGTGACCAGTATGTTAGAAAATGCAAGTTTTTAACCATATCCTGTGACTACTTCATTGACATCTCAATTATAGTTTATATACAACTGCTGCTATACACCTTAAAATAGTTATAGGGTACTATTCAGCTGTCTCATGTCTATTTTCATTTATATGTTTAGCAGCTTAAAGTATTCAGTGTGATTTCTACTGAACTACATGAAATTTAGGATAGTCCAAATAGGCTTATACCTCAAACAAGTGATATGTTAACAATTGAGGGGCAGAACAGTTCTAGGAGGGGTGTGCAGAGAAATCTTCAATACCCCAGTGAGGAGTAACTAATCTTTGTGTCCTATCTAGTTAGGTATATGGGAGTCCAAGCTATTTCCTGTCTGTTTTAAGCTTTCCTTATTGGTCTCTGTCTATCTGATTTAATTTGGGGGGACTCCAGAGTGACCCTGCTGGTAATTGCAAGAGAGGGTCGGGAGCCAAAAAGTTGGAACTAAGTTAGGACCAGAGAAAGCTCCTTTCCCAGCATTCTTAAAACTTTTGGTTTAAATGTCGCTTGTGAGCCAAACTGCTCTTCCAAGAGGTAGGTTACTGACGGAAGAGCTGTTGTCCTTGGCACTTCCCGTGATAGGCGTGCTGCCGTTACCCCCTGCCCTGCACACCTGGCTGAGGGGGTCACAGCAGGACCTCTCCCCTTGGGCAAGCTCTGGGATCCAATGCAGGCCCCGTGGAAAAAAGGTGGTATGGGGCCTGCTTCTCTCACTGCTAGTTTCTAACTAGAAGTGCATTTCAGAACCCTGGAGATGGCTGAGTGAGTGAGGACTGAGTCTGGGTTGTGGCCGGAGAGCCTGCCTTCCCTGAGTCTGGACACTGGCCACCCCAGCTAGTCCTTCTACCTGGGCCTCAGGACGGAGGGCTCGGGCACCAGGATTCTGGGATCCAGCGCAAACCCTGCCTTCTCACAGAGCACCCTATCAGGAATCAGTGTGGTGGGTGAGCACCTGCAGGGCCAGCAGCCCAGGGCTCTGCTTGCTGAGTCTGGCACTGTGCCAGCTGGTGGGGTGCCAGGCAGAAACAAACCTCTGGGTCCACCTGCTGAGCTCAGCACTCCAGTGCCCACCTCCTGGGTACCCCTTGATTTGGCCTCGAGTGTGAGTGGAGTGTGGGGTACCCTGGCTCCCGTGATGGGGCATGTCTGCTGTGTTTAGATCTCTCAGCTGGAGGAGTCCCTCAGGAAGCTGGTGCTCCAGATGGACCGGCCACAAAGGTGAGGAAAGCACATGGCGAGCCTGCCCCGGGGTGGGAGTCCCTGGGCGCAGAGGACACACCTGCCCATACAGTAGATTTCTGTCAGACCGTAAGCTTGGGCGATGCTGGAGACCCAAAACAGTGTAGCTCCCCGAGAGCAGGTGGTGCGGGCTGGTGCCCCAGGCCCTCTGGGAGTGAGCACAGCACAGGCAAGGGCTCTAAAGCCTTTGGCCTCCTCCCTGTGGCACGTGAGCCACTGTTCTTGGCACGGCTCCATGTGAGCAGGTGACACATTGTGGGAAGGCACCAAAATTAGTAGAATTAGCCTAAAATGGTGGCCACAGAAATATTGTACATCACTCTCTGGGAAACACGGCCAGACCACCCTCTGATTCCTGTCTGTGAGCCCTCATTATTGCTCACCAGCTCCTCTGTCCTGTGTCCGGGGTCCTGGGCTATGGAGTCAGGAACAGTGACACACAGGGTGTGACACTGAGCGGAATCTCACGTGGACACAATGGCCGAGAAGCCCATGTCGTGTCGGCTGCCGTGCCCCTGCCCCCGACTGCCTGCCTCCTGTGTGGCTGTGTTGAGGGTACAGGCCTGCATGGAAGCTGTAGGTGCCCGTTGCACTGCTTGGTGGCCCCGCTCCTGTCACGTTGGATGAGAAGGCCCTTTGCAGCTGCCCATGTCCACTCTGGGACAGGGCGCAGCAGCAGACAGGTTCTGGCCTACAGCCACGTGCCGGGCATGCTCCTCCGGCCTGGAGCTCAGAGGCCATTTATGGGAGTCAGGGCCGAGTGAGGTGACAGTGTGTGGTGGGTCCTGCTGCTCGGTGACCCAGGAGGAAAACTGCTCAGAGTGGGTCTGAATGTGGACTTTTTTTTAGACTTTTCAAAGGCAGTTTATCTACCTTCTGGATATGCCATTAGGAGGCTGATTCTGACTTCTGCCCCCTGCTGGTACAAGAAGAAAGGGGTTCTTTCTGATGTGACCTTAGATGAGACCAGAAAGAAACTGTGACATCTCTCATCTCACGGCACCCATGTGCTCTGTGTGACCCAGTCACCCAGTCACCCTGAGGGCTCCCATGTGCTCTGTGTGACCCAGTCACCCTGAGGGCACCCATGTGCTCTATGTGACCCAGTCACCCAGTCACCCTGAGGGCACCCATGTGCTCTATGTGACCCAGTCACCCAGTCACCCTGAGGGCACCCATGTGCTCTATGTGACCCAGTCACCCTGAGGGCACCCATATGCTCTGTGTGACCCAGTCACCCAGTCACCCTGAGGGCACCCATGTGCTCTGTGTGACCCAGTCACCCAGTCACCCTGAGGGCACCCATGTGCTCTGTGTGACCCAGTCACCCTGAGGGCTCCCATGTGCTCTGTGTGACCCAGTCACCCAGTCACCCTGAGGGTCTTTTGCAATGTGGAGTGAGCTGATTGGGTCACATTACTGTATATATTGAGTTTGTCTGGAGGGGTGGAGGCAGAAAAGGAGCTCTATGTTACATGGGGAAAGTTTTTCGGAGCTTGAAGTGGTGGTGGCAGGTGAAGTGTGGGAAGGTGGCCCCAGAGCAGCCCTGGTGACAGACTGTGGCACGGTCGCTGTGTGCAGCTGGTGTGGCCATACTCAGGTCCACCCCATAGGTAGGGCCTGCAGCCCTCACCACACCATCATGGCCTCCGGTGTGTTGGTGAAGACAGAGATGTACTCCCCTGTTTACATTCCCTCACTCACCCACAAGGCCTGGACCTATAAAACTCTCCCACACGGGGGTCCAGTCTCGGACCTGGACAGGGCAGCTTGGCTGCTTACTGGAACACAGAAAATGATCGAGCGCCTGGTCCTGTTTCTGTCGTTGTCAGCACTGCTGTGTGGGTGGCCCATCTTTCTCTCCCACATGTCACACCTGCACAGAGCTGCCTTCTGAGTCGCAGCTGTGCTGGCGGCTGCTGGACGCTGGCCGGGTCCCCAGCCTCGGAGACTTCTGAACTCCTGTGAGCCCAATGTGAGCCCAATGAGGACAGCTTGGTGGCAATGCTGTGATTTAACTGTGTCTCTTTTCTCTCTGTAGTATTTCTTCACAGCAACCGACGTTCGGCATGGGCAGCTTGTCCGTGCCAAGTAAGTAGACCGTTGTCCCAGAGGGGCCTGTGCGCAGGCGTGGCATGCCCATTGCCAGCACATTGATGCCCTGCTCTGCCACAGACACTGCTGTCCAGCCGAGGGGGTGTCTGCTGCTGCCGCCGGGCTCCTCAGCCCCTGACAGGTGTGTGCGTCGGTGGGGCACAGGACCCTCTGGTCCTTCCAGACCCCCATCCCATCCTGCCTTCCCCTCCAGACCCTTTCCCCACAGCAAGGTCTGGCTCCCTTTGACGCTTGGACCCTGTGAGGTATGGCCCGGGGCTGGCTGGCAGAGTGCTCCGTTGCTATGGCCTCAGTGGCCGGCTGAGGAATGGTTATGTCACCCAGTGTCCCCAAAGCCCAGCTAAACTGGGGTTCCAGCACAAGAGTGGGTGACAGCCCTGCCTGACAGGAAGGAAAGGTGACACAGGTGTGCAGACATGCCTCCCATAGGGCACTTTCACATGGCGGCTAGCCCAATGGCTAGTGTGCAGCTGGGCCAGCCGACAGCATGGGAGCCCAGCCATGTGATCCCAGGAAAACCTAGTCTGGGGCCACCTGCGTTTTCTCAGGTGGAAGACTCAGCTCTTGTCGACCTTGGCCTGGCCAGAGCCTCAGGCAGAGATGGGACCGGTGAGTTTCCTGCAGGGAGCTTTCCTGGGGGGTAGAGAACACACACCAAGCAATCCCGCAGCATGCATGTGCTGTCCACGTGGGGAGGGACTTGGGGCCAGCCCAGCAGTCTCCACATCTGTCCCCTTGGGAGGTTGTATACAAGAGACTGGGCTGGAAGACAAGGGCTGGGCCAGTCCACAAGGACCTGGGAGGAGGCGGAGCTGGAGACCGTGTCAGAGGGCACTGAGCCCGCCTCTGGCAGTGGCAAGCTGAGCTCACGCTCAGAACGCGTGCTGAAGCAGTGCAGGGTCACGGCCCTCCCTGCGGCTCCGAGGACAGCACTCTCTTGACATCACTGGCCTGGGGATGAGCAGGCGGGTCCATGTGCTATATAGGGTCCTTGCTGTGTCACAGGCTTGTGATGACAAGAGTGAGGTGTTCCACACCAGAAGTGCTAGCCTAGCAGCTCCACACAAGAGCTGGAGGAGCTGAACAGTGGAGGGAGACAGGGTCTGAGTGCGAGGCACGGCTGCTGGGAGGTGGCCCTGGCTCCTTGGCAGGGGCTGGATGTCTGGGAGGGACATGGCAGTGATCAGGTCTGCAGTTGGCTCACTCTGACAGCACCGTGGAGAGGAGGGCATGGTTCCAGTCTCACTTTGTGTCCACAGGGTGGAGTCAATGGAAGTCGACATTTCACCTTCTCCAGTAAGGAAAGTAAGTGTGTGCTTTCCCCATGCCGGGCACTCAGCATGAACTCGCACAGTGCAGGTCCTGGGCGGCCCACGAGATGGAGTATGGCTAAACAGGATTCTTATTTTTTTTCATATTTTCTTATTGGAAAGTCAGATATACAGAGAGGAGGAGAGACAGAAAGATCCTCTGTCCATTGATTCACTCCCCAAGCAGCTGCAATGGCATAGCTGAGCCCATCCGAAGCCAGCAACCAGGAACTTCCTCTGGGTCCCCCACACGAGTACAGGGTCCCAAGGCCTTGGGTCATCCCCCACTGCCTTCCCAGGCCACAAGCCGAGGGCTGGATGGGAAGTGGGGCTGCCAGGACACAAACTGATGCCCACATGGGATTCTGGTGCATCGAAGTTGAGGACTCCAGCCACTGGGCTACCACACTGGGCCCTTATCAGGATTCTGAAAGACCAATGAGAACAGCTTTGGAAGGTCACAGGTTAGCGGGCTGAAAGGGCATCCTGAGGTGTCACCTGGCTTAACTTGCAGATTTGAAGAGACAGAAACAACTCAAGACAGAGCCTCTGGCACCTGCAAGCCAGCCAGATGCAGGAGGCACTAAAAAATGCCACCATGCCCTCAAGTTGGAATGGACCAAACTTGCGGATCCCTAGCTCAGTTCTAACAGTGTGCCCAGGTCTCCCAGGGTAAAGAGCCACCAACATGCCTACCAACATGCCCTGGGCCCATGCAGGGAGGCCAGAGCAGAGTGAATGTGGGAACTTGGTGCCTGTAGGTCTGTGTTACTATTTAAAGATCTGTGTATTAATTATACCAGAGGTGTATGCATGTGTCTGTGTTAGTCATATAGGAGTGTGTACATATATGTCTGGGTTAGAGTGTTGTGTGTGTATAGTTTTGTTAAGCAGTGCTTAAGGTGGACACATATCCTCCACACTCATTAACTAACGTGGACATATATGTACCATAATCAGCTACCTTCATGCTGTGCCAGTTTGTGCTCCAAGGAACTTCCAGAAGCAACCTGCCTTGCCCCCGCACCCACACATGTGTCATGCATCATTTGGCCCCCAGAACCAGCCTCAGGATGAGCACAGGTGAAGATCAGTTACCTGGGCCTGGGCTGTGGTCTGGGGAGCCTGCTTAGCCCATATGGTCTCGGGTCTGTCTCTGGGTCCCTGAGGGGTCTCCTGGATGACCTGGGAAGCAGCTGGTGAGGGGTCAGGCCCAGCAGGACATACCCTCCTGGTTTTCTCCCTGCTCTTGAGGAGGGTGTGTGGCCCCTCGGGGAGGTGCCGCGGCCCACGGCCCTACCTTCTGCTGTCTGTTCTGTCAGACGTGGTGCAGGTTTTCCAGAGTCGGGGTACCCGACTCCGAGAATGCAGCACCCGGGGCCCAGCCCGCCCCCAGAAGGTGGGGTGTTGGGGGCCCTTCTACTGCACACGACCAGTGTGAGTTCTTGTGGCTCCTGACAGAGCCCTCACAGGGCCCTTCATCCCAGGCAGCTGGGCCCCTGGAGACTCTCGGCTGTTACTAGATGCTTCCACACTGTTTGGCCTAGAAACTGTCTGACAGAGCTCTTCCTCACAAGAAACTCCTGAGAGAGGAGATGTTCAGAGCTTGCCTGTGGTCACTTGCAGTGCCTGGGCCTGCCTGAGATGACCTGCCCACTCATGAGCTGACCTGTGGTGCCGCCATGGGCACAGTGCTTAGGGAGCTGTGGGTACATGCTGGCATGCCCTGTCAATGTCAGTGGGCGTGTCTGCTGCAGGGGCTGGGGATAAAGGAGGTGAAGACCAGCAGGGCTGGGTCAAGGGACAACACGGGCTGCCCCAAGGCTGGGGGGCTGGGATGAGTGCGAGGGCTGCTGATGGGGATGGTCCAGAGGGGAGGGCAGTCCAGGCCACACTGAGCAGTGAGGGGGCAGCTGGGGCCGTAACTTCATGATCTGGTGTCTGTCCCAGGGCCAGGAGTGTGGAGCAGCGTTTCCTTGGGGCATTCCCCGAGATGCGCCCACCCTCCTGGGCACAGAGTCCTTTGCCATGAAATACTGCCTCATCTGCTGTTTGTTCTCATACCCTCAGCCTGAGGGGGCAGTCGGCCCCACAAGGATGTCTCTGATTAGCCCTCCCCAGGATGGGCGCATGGGTAAGTGGGCTGCAAAAGTGCACTCCTGGGGGGCAGGGACAAAGTTCATGGAGACCCCAGGGACTGTGCCCTCCTGAGCAGGGCTGTGTCATGAGGCTCCTCAGCCATATCCAGGGGGTGTATGTAGTGCATGCGGTCCCTGCTGCCTCTTCTGAAGCCCTCAGCATCCAGCTAATTCTGGGTAGGTGTGAGCAGGGCCCCTGCCTCAGCCCAAGGTATTCCCTGATGGAGCAGATCCCCAGGGACCAATGTCCTTGCCAGCTGTCCGAGACCGTGTTTCGAGAAGACCCAGAAGCATGGGCACTATCGACAGGCTCAGTGTGTGTGACTGTACCCCCAGGGCTATGCACCCCATCACATGGCCTGTGCTCTTCCAATGGGGCCGTGTGCCTGACCCCACGTGTGTCATAGTAGAGTGTGCTCCCAGTGTGGGGCCGTGTGCCTGACCCCACGTGTGTCATAGTAGAGTATGCTCCTCCAATGGGGCCGTGTGCCTGACCCCACGTGTGCCATAGTAGAGTGTGCTCCTCCAATGGGGCCGTGTGCCTGACCCCACGTGTGTCATAGTAGAGTGTGTTCCCTGTGTGGGCCGTGTGCCTGACCCCACGTGTGTCATGGTAGAGTGTGTTCCCCGTGTGGGCCGTGTGCCTGACCCCACGTGTGTCATAGTAGAGTGTGCTCCTCCAATGGGGCCGTGTGCCTGACCCCACGTGTGCCATAGTAGAGTGTGCTCCCCGTGTGGGCCGTGTGCCTGACCCCACGTGTGTCATAGTAGAGTGTGTTCCCAGTGTGGGCCGTGTGCCTGACCCCACGTGTGCCATAGTAGAGTGTGCTCCTCCAATGGGGCCGTGTGCCTGACCCCACGTGTGTCATAGTAGAGTGTGTTCCCTGTGTGGGCCGTGTGCCTGACCCCACGTGTGTCATAGTAGAGTGTGCTCCTCCAATGGGGCCGTGTGCCTGACCCCACGTGTGCCATAGTAGAGTGTGCTCCTCCAATGGGGCCGTGTGCCTGACCCCACGTGTGTCATAGTAGAGTGTGTTCCCCGTGTGGGCCGTGTGCCTGACCCCACGTGTGTCATAGTAGAGTGTGCTCCTCCAATGGGGCCGTGTGCCTGACCCCACGTGTGCCATAGTAGAGTGTGCTCCTCCAATGGGGCCGTGTGCCTGACCCCACGTGTGTCTTGGATTTTGGCCCTTCTCACAGGGTGCAACCCCCACAAGGCCTCTCTGTACAGGGTCCTCCTGTTGTGGGTTCTCCATGAATTCTCTGTGAGGCTGCCTACCTAGGATGCTGTTCCAGTTTTTAACCTTGTTCTTGTTTTTTAAAATATTTGGCTATTTGACAGGCAGAATGACACGAGAGGAGAGACAGGGAGACAGTTCTTCTGTCCGCTCATTCAGTCTTCTAATGCCTGCAGCAGCTGGGGCTCGGCTAGACCGGAGCCAGGAGCCAGGAGCCCTGAGCTGCAAGCTCTTCTCCAACGCCTGAGCAGGCTGTGCCCCAGTGCCCTCACAGCTGTGTGAGCAGGAAGCTGGGTGCCCCTGCTGTAGCCCCGGAGCTGTGGGGGTGTGTTCGCAAATTCCTCTCAGAATCCCTAAGACCCTTTTCTGCCTTGTTTGCTTTCCTCCTGCACAGCCAAGTTCCAGACTTGGGGTGCCCCCTGGAGGTGTGATGCAGGGTGCATGTTCAGCCTGTCTTCTCAGTGTCTTACTTGAAATGACTTTGAACACATGGTACAGTCATAGAAACATGTCCAGGTTGGGCAGAGAAGCCACATGTTGCATACTGGCAGTTCTTGTGCGAGAGCTCCAGGCGACTGTTGCTGTGGCTCCTGCTCCCAGCTTCCTGTCGAGGACCCCCGGAGGCAGCCCAGTCCTGGTCAGAGCAGGCACGGAGGGTGTGCGCCACGGGCACGGCTGTTGGGGCAAGTTCTTGATCCTGTTCACCACCTCCTCACCCTTGCCAGCTCTGTCACTGCCTTACCCCCCCCCCCGGCTCTGTCACTGCCTTACCCCCCCCCCCCGGCTCTGTCACTGCCTTACCCCCCCCCCCCGGCTCTGTCACTGCCTTACCCCCCCCCCCCCCGGCTCTGTCACTGCCTTACCCCCCCCCCGGCTCTGTCACTGCCTTACCCCCCCCCCGGCTCTGTCACTGCCTTACCCCCCCCCCCAGCTCTGTCACTGCCTTACCCGCCCCCCGGCTCTGTCACTACCTTACCCCCCGCCCAGCTCTGTCACTGCCTTACACCCCCCCAGCTCTGTCACTGCCTTACCCCCCCCCCGGCTCTGTCACTGCCTTACCCCCGCCCAGCTCTGTCACTGCCTTACCCTCTGCCTTACCCTCTGCAAACAGTTCAGGTGAGGGAGGACACAGGTGACCTATGGGGCACATGATTGGTGCCCAGGGGTTCTCTCTCCACAAGAGTACATGGCTGAGTCAACATAGTTGCTGGTACCTCCTGGTGGAGGGATGGCCTTCAGGGAAGTATCACTCTTTAGTTTAACCCTGAAATGACCCTGGGGGACACTACAGTGTTTCCAATAGAAGCATTATTGGACTTCTGCCCGTGGGGTCCTGGCCATCAGCTCCCCTCACATCTGCTGCTCGGCAGGGCCATCCCAGGGCCCACATGTGCCCTCATAGCACTGCCCACTGCTTCACATTATTGGCCAAAGTGGCCTTGGCCCTGCTGGTGACAGCTCTCACCCACCCTGTGGAGGAGAGTGGCAGGTGGCGACATGGCCACCCCGTGGCCTGAGCTAGCATTCAGCTCTTCCTGCAGTTTGACTTACTTGAAAACCAGAGTTGGGGAAAAAAAAAAAGAGAGAGAGAGAGAGAGAAACAGATTTTCTGTCTGCTGGTTCACTCTCCAAACGTGAGGAGCAAGTGGGGCTGGATTAATCCACAGCCAGGAGCCTGGAGCCCGGAGCTTCCTCTGGGTCTCCCACATGGTCACAGGTCACCCTCTGCTGCCTACCCAAACATGGTTGGGAAGTGAGGCAGCTGGGACTTTAATTGGTTCCCATGTGAGCTCCTGGTGTTGCAGGCAGCTGTCTGGCATATGTTCCTGGGGCTGGATCTAACCAGACACGCTGGGACCCCTAGTCAGAAGCTCCATCTCCCACGCGTCCCCTGCAGTGGAGTCCACCTGGGTGGCTGCCCACTCAGGCACAGGTTGGGGCCTCGGGAGAGCTCATTGTGTGCAGAGGCAGATGTGCAGGTCACTCTCAGACTCTGCAGTGTGAACCTGACCCACAGGACTGTAGCACAGCCCAAGGACTGGGACACCATGCAAGTTCCATGCAAGCTCCAGCCAGGCTGCTGTCTGGAACGAGCCTGGGAGGCCACGCTTAGCTCCTCTGCAGCATCTGGGGGTCCAAGCAGTGTGCCCTCACCAGCCCCCACATTCACACCACCAAGGAATGCTGTGGGTCAGGGGTCCCACTGGTCAGCAACCCCTGCAGGAGCCTGGGCTGTGAGTCAGAGTTGGCCTAGGGTGGGGTCCCATTGGTCAGCAGCCCCTGTGGTAGCCTGGGCACTTCCAAGAGCTGATGCACGTGACGGGTTTGTCCTCACAGGCAGCGTCTCCTACCGGGGCCCTCAGCATCTTGGCCTGACACCACGGCAGACTCACACGTCAAAGGCTCCCAGGTACTGTGCTATGTGCAGCTTCAGATGCAAACACCGATGACAGAGCTCTCCCATCTGCCAGTTCACTCCCCAAGTGTCACAACAGCCAGGCTGTGTCAGGACAGAGCCAGAAGCTCCATCCAGGCACCCACATGGGTGCAGGGGCCCAAGCCCATGCACTTCCCGACAGGTGGATGGCAGGGGGCTGGGTGAGAAGTGCAGCAGCCAGGATGTTTTGAGACAGAGCTCGAGCAGGTTGGCAAGTCTCTGGAGACAATGGACAGGGGGAGCCTCACTCAGCAGATGTGGCCCTCGGGCCCCTGTGGGCTGTATGTTAGCACATGCACCTGTCTGTACAGAACCTCATACCTCTCCAGAGCAGGAGCCCAACAGCCCCCATGGAATCCTGTGGCCACCTGCCCAGGGCGGGGGCCTTTTCTGTCCCCTAGTGGTGCAAGCCCAATCCCATCACTGCCCTCCCTAGCCCCAGGTATCAGAGTCATGCTGTCACCGCACCTGGCACCCATCTCCTACCACCCATGTGAACCCACAGGCGCAACAGGCAAAGTGAGTGGTACTCTGTGGACTCAGTCACATAGGACTGGGCTGGGTCAGCTGCCATGGAAGGGCCGGAGGAGGCCTATGCAGAGGCAGGAATGTGGGAAGGCCAGGGGCAACCCACACCCAGCTGCCCTGCAGGCTGGGCTGACCTGGGCACTAGGGGAGCCATGCTTCCGGGCCGGCAGGGGCATTGACTGGGTGAATGGGAGTGGGTGTGTCTCCATGCAGAGGAGGCTGTCACAGGCTGCCCTAGGGAGCAGCATCTGTCATCAGAAAAGGCATTGCAGAAAGAAGGCGAAGGTTGAAAAGACCAATGTCAAAAGCGCTTGGAAAATGGAATTAAAAGATCTTTGTTTAGGTGCAGGAGAGTTTGGAAATGAATGCAGTCATGCCTGTGACCGTGCAGTGTCACGCTGTGCTGCGTGCGGTTCCTGCAGGATCCCCTTATATGCATGAATGTTGAATGTTTTTACACCAAGATAAACTTATTTTTTCCCCCCAAAGACACTCGTTCATTCTAATGTAGGAGAGAAATCGTATCAGCCAGGAACCCATGGCCCTGGGTGCCGCCCAAGCCTGGCCTGGGCTGCCCTGGGGGAGTGAGGCCCTGGAGGCTCAGGGTATTCCCTGGTGCTGAGGGTGGGCCAGACTGTCCCGGAGCAGGGGCACAGCAGGGCACAGGGTCAGGGCAGCAGAAGCCCTGGCTGCCACATGGCTACCACCCAGCTGCTGCAGATCGAGTCAGGGTCTTGATCCATCCACAGGCCTGGTGGGTGATGTAGACGGGGATGAGCACATTTCCCTGTGTGAGCTGAGCAGCCCTGGGCATGCAGCTCTGCCCCCAGAGTGTGTGTCCTGGGTGGGAGCCTCTGCAGTCATGCACTGGCAGGACCTGACCCAGCCTGTCTTCCTCTGCAGGTTCCCAGCACTACAGGTGCCCCTCAAGGGGCCTACGCAAGCCTCAGTCACCCGAGTGGCCAGAGGCAGTTCCCCCAGCCCTGGCAGTGCCCAGGTGGCCCCCAGGCCACCCATCAGCATCCCAGGCCTGCTACACAGGCCATGCTCAGGCAAGTGCCCGTGTGTGTCCAGGTGGGTAGTGTCTGTGTAAGAGGGTCCAGAGGCAGGGCTGACCTCCTTGCTTCCCGCAGGGCCTGCTCACCCCGGAGCTGGCACACACCGAAGATGAGCCGCCTTTGGAATGCTCCCTCCAGGAACTCTGAGTCATGTGGCTGAATAAAGTGATTTTTCTGGTTACTTGAAGCTGCTCCTCCCATGGCCCTGGGCTGGCCTCATAGGGGTGCCCGTGTATTGATGGCCACCCTGCTGCCAAACTGAGTGCTGACACAACCCCTTGGCTGTGAGCGTCACTGGGGCCCCACTCACAGATCTCCATGGAGTCTGTTCTAGCTGATTTTAGCTGGCAGGCATGAAGCTGTTGTGGGCAGCTAGGTGGTGTCTGTCCAGTACCCTGGGACAAGAACTGGCTCCCATTTGGGATCCTGACGTATGCAAGGTGAGGGCTTTAGCCACTAGGTTATCACACAGGGCCAGAGTCTGTTACTTTCTTTAAAGATTGAATGATCATCCACATCACCACTGTGGCTGAAAGGGACTCAGGCCAAGCTTTCACAGGAAGAATGTGTGCTGTTAGCACTGCACGCAGGGGCCAGTGTGGACATGTGTGCTGTTAGCACTGCAAGGGGGATCAGTGTGGACATGTGTGGTGTTAGCACTGCATGCAGGGGCCAGTGTGGACGTGTGTGGTGTTAGCACTGCATGGGGGGGGTCAGTGTGGACATGTGAGCTGTTAGCACTGCACGGGGGGGGCAGTGTGGGCGTGTGTGCTGTTAGCACTGCATGGGGGGGTCAGTGTGGACATGTGTGCTGTTAGCACTGCACGGGGGGTCAGTGTGGACGTGTGTGCTGTTAGCACTGGATGCAGGGGCCAGTGTGGACGTGTGAGCTGTTAGCACTGCATGGGGGGTCAGTGTGGACATGTGTGCTGTTAGCACTGCACGGGCGGTCAGTGTGGACGTGTGTGCTGTTAGCACTGGATGCAGGGGCCAGTGTGGACGTGTGAGCTGTTAGCACTGCATGGGGGGTCAGTGTGGACATGTGTGCTGTTAGCACTGCACGGGCGGTCAGTGTGGACGTGTGAGCTGTTAGCACTGCACGGGGGGGGCAGTGTGGGCGTGTGTGCTGTTAGCACTGCATGGGGGGGTCAGTGTGGACGTGTGAGCTGTTAGCACTGCATGGGGGGTCAGTGTGGACGTGTGAGCTGTTAGCACTGCACGGGGGGGGCAGTGTGGGCGTGTGTGCTGTTAGCACTGCATGGGGGGGTCAGTGTGGACGTGTGAGCTGTTAGCACTGCATGGGGGGTCAGTGTGGACGTGTGAGCTGTTAGCACTGCACGGGGGGGTCAGTGTGGGCGTGTGTGCTGTTAGCACTGCATGGGGGGGTCAGTGTGGACATGTGTGCTGTTAGCACTGCACGGGGGGTCAGTGTGGACGTGTGTGCTGTTAGCACTGGATGCAGGGGCCAGTGTGGACGTGTGAGCTGTTAGCACTGCATGGGGGGTCAGTGTGGACGTGTGTGGTGTTAGCACTGCACGGGGGGGCCAGTGTGGACGTGTGTGCTGTTAGCACTGGATGCAGGGGCCAGTGTGGACGTGTGAGCTGTTAGCACTGCATGGGGGTCAGTGTGGACGTGTGTGGTGTTAGCACTGCATGGGGGGGTCAGTGTGGACGTGTGAGCTGTTAGCACTGCATGGGGGGTCAGTGTGGACGTGTGAGCTGTTAGCACTGCACGGGGGGTCAGTGTGGACGTGTGAGCTGTTAGCACTGCATGCGGGGAGTCAGTGTGGACGTGTGAGCTGTTAGCACTGCACGTGGGGAGTCAGTGTGGACGTGTGAGCTGTTAGCACTGCACGTGGGGAGTCAGTGTGGACGTGTGAGCTGTTAGCACTGCATGCGGGGGTCAGTGTGGACGTGTGTGGTGTTAGCACTGCATGGGGGGGGTCAGTGTGGACGTGTGAGCTGTTAGCACTGCATGGGGGGTCAGTGTGGACGTGTGAGCTGTTAGCACTGCATGGGGGGCCAGTGTGGACGTGTGAGCTGTTAGCACTGCACGGGGGGGTCAGTGTGGACGTGTGAGCTGTTAGCACTGCACGTGGGGAGTCAGTGTGGATGTGTGAGCTGTTAGCACTGCATGGGGGGTCAGTGTGGACGTGTGTGGTGTTAGCACTGCATGGGGGGTCAGTGTGGACGTGTGTGCTGTTAGCACTGCATGGGGGGCCTGGCATGGACGTGTGTTCCTGCCACCTTGCAATGGGTTCCTGAAATCCCACATCAGCCGCTTACACTTTGCAGGAAAGCCTTCACAGTGGCTGGCAGGCAGTGATAGGCTGGCGTCTGACCACCTCCACCCACTCACCTTTGCCCGTGGCGTGCACTCGGGGGGCAAAGCCAAGAGCTGCTGGTTGCCATGTCCTTTCTACCCCTCTGCCCACGGGTCATGCTAGGGGTGTTATGGCCTCGGCTACCATGTCTGACCCTCATTTAGGGTATCCAGTTTGAACCCTCCCTGAGCTCACCAACCCCTGTGTACCTACCTCTTTTGTGCTCTGGCCCTCAGGCAGGAACTTCCTTTGCACAGACCAGTGAGTCAGGTACGACGTCATGGAGGTGGGACACACCTGGCGTGTGCCTAAGTGGCTGTAGGAAGGAAGCCCAGGACACAGCTGCCCTTCATACAGAGCTGCCAGCATCACAAATGGGAGGCCCTGATCCACTGACCTCTGCTTCCTAGGTACCCAGTGCAGCCTGGCTAGCTGGACACTCCTGGCCCTTGTTCCTGGCCCCGTGCCGGTGTCCCATGTGCGAGCACCCACTCAGCCTCCTGGCGACAACAGCACTTGCACCCAAAAGCCAAGCCCTCCCCGGCACCACCTGAGCCTGGGCCACCCTGAGCCTGGGAAGCCTGTGGTGGCAGCTCTGCCCTGTCGGGGACGGTGCCTGCTCACGGAAGGCTGTGGGCAGCCTGTGGGACCAGGAGGAAATTCCTGAGATTCCTTGGTGGTAAATCCCAGACTGTTCACTGGGGAAGGGGGCCATGCTGAGGGGAGGTAAGGCGCTGCCCTCGCCTGCCGCCATGGGGCCCCCTGCCTGGCCCTTGCCACCCACTGGACTCTGGGACTGGGAGAAGCATGGGGGCCAGGACCAAGGGGACAGAGGCTCTGTGAGCAAATGTCCCCTGCGTCCTGGGCAGGGCCTGACTGGCTTGGAGACAAGCCCTGGCAACCACTGGGTCTGCATGGAGCTTCAAACAGCACTGGGAGCCACGAAGCCCGTGGCTGACCGAGACAGGGGTGCGGCCTCATTCATACACAGTGCCCAAAGGTCATGTGGAGGGGGAGTTGCTGCCCGAAGACCCTGGGTGGCCATGCACGTGGGCTTCCTGGAGAGGGGAAACTTGCAGCTGGCCCGCCTGGACTGCTACCCCACACAGTGGCAGGAGAGAACGGGACTGCCTTCAGCTACCAGAGGAGCAATGCTGAGGAGGGCTCTGTTAGTGCCCCCCGAGGGCACCTGCCTGAACCCGTGGCTTCACTTCCGACCAAGCCTCCTGCTGTTGACCTGGGAGAGACAGTTCCGGGAGCTGAGGAAGCTCCCAGCTCCAGCCTGGCTCAGGCAGCCACTTGGGGAGTGGACCCGTGGGCGCTCTCTCACGCTCCCTTTCACATGGATGAATACATCTCTTTTTTATATCTCTTTTTTAAAGATTTATTTATTTCTATTGGAAAGTCAGATATACAGAGAGAAGAAGAGACAGGAAGATCTTCTGTCCACTGATTCACTCCCCAAGTGACTGCAACAGCCAGAGCTGAGCTGATCTGAAGCTAGGAGCCAGGAGCCTCTTCTGGGTCTCTCATGTGAGTGCAGGGTCCCAAGGCTTTGGGTCATCCTCGACCGCTTTCCCAGGCCACAGGCAGGGAGCTGGATGGGAAGTGGAGCCAGCAGGACGTGAACTGGTGCCCATATGGGATCCCGGCACGTGCAAGGTAAGGATTTAGCTGCTAGGTTACTGCACCAGGCCCTTTTAAAAATAGATTTAAGAAATGTTTTTATTAAAAAGTCAGATTTACAGAGAGAAGGAGAGACAAAGATCTTCCATCTGCTGGTTCAATCCCCAAGCAGCTGCAATAGCCAGAGCCAAACTGATCCGAAGCCAGGAGCCTCTTCCAGGTCTCCCACGGGTGCAGGGTCCCAAGGCTTTGGACCGTCCTCAACTGCTTTCCCAGGCCATAGCAGGGAGATGGATGGGAACTGGAGCAGCCAGGACACAAACCAGTGTCCATATGAGATACCAGCAGATACAAGGCGAGGATTTAGCCACTAGGCTATCACACTGGGTCTATAGACAAATCCATCTTAATCCAGGGGTCAGATACACGGATGTGTAGGGTCCATGACCTCAGGGATCTAGCACTGGGCGGCCCATCATCCCAGTGCCAAGGAAGAACGTGAGGTGGCCATCAACAGTCCTGCCCAGACGTCTCAGCAGCTTGGGTGGACCCCTTGGTCCAGCTGGCAGAGCGGGTGGACAGAGCAGTGATGCTGTGCCCTCCCTTGGCCCTGCTGCACTGTCCCACAACTGGAGTACACACAGTGCCCAGTACTAGGTCATCCGAGTCCAGGGATGGCCAGGAGTGACTCTAGCCAGCCCAGGCGGGCTCAGGACCCAGGGGCAGTGGGGACCTGCAGGTGGACATGCAGCTTGGGCTCCCAGGAACATCTACACCTGGACACAGGTGGTCAAGCTGGCCCAGACCAGAGGCAGCTGCGTGCATGGCTGCCTGGTGTCGAGCTGCACGTGTGCACACACATGCACAAACATCCCATATGTACATGCTAGGGAGAGAGCCGCTGCCTGGCCCCTGGGGCCCTCAGCTTCTCTGACCCCAGCCAGCAGGGCCCTTGTGTATGGGTGAACTGGCTGTCAGGCTGCCATCTGCATGTGGATGACTTCCACATGGGAGAGCTGCAGGGACCTGTTGAGTCCCACTGTCCCCTTTGGGCAGTTGTGGGGAGTGGGCAGCTTTCTGGTGAAGGTCAAGGCACCTCTGGAGCTCAGCTGTGCCCAGACCAGGGCCTGGGCAGGAGTGACTTGTGGACTGGGCACCCCCTGGCCCTGCGTCAGCCATGGCCGGCTGCTCCCCGGGAGCAGGTCTGCCTGGCCATCCTCACAGCCCCCACCCCTCCCAGGTGCACATACAGACTGAGCATTGGGCACTGCCTGGCCCCCTTAGGGGGTCAGGATGGGCCCACCGCCACAGGCTCAGCCCTGGATTAACCGTTCCAGGCCTCAGGGAGTGCTGGGCTGCAGGGCCGGGCTCTCCCCTGGAGCAGCCCCTGGCCTGCCCTGCTGCTGGCTGGCGCCCGCCTCATTTCCTCTTGGCGCAGGGCTCGGCGGCCTGGGAACAAAGGGTGGATTGTGCCTCGTTCTCAGCTCGGGGCCTCAGACACCCCAGCCTGGCTGCTGCCCTGGCAGGCCCACAGGCGCTGCCCAGGAGCCAACACCTCCAGACTCAGCCAGCCAGCACCCTGGGCAGCCCCTTCCCATCCATCCCCTGCCTGGGCCTCTGCATCCTACACCCACGTCACCTAGCTCTGATGCCCACCTCAAGCTGGCCTTTCCTGGAGTCAGACTTCTGGGGTCTCTGCCCCCAGGAGAGGGAGTGGCTGCAACCCATGCATGCTACCTGTAGCGCATGGCAGACATCAGGAAAGCCATGGACGCCACAGTGTGCACTGTGTGAGCACCACGACTGTGCGTACTGCATGAGTGCCACTGTGTACAATGATACTGCATGCCAGTTGCACAAGCTACCCTTGGGGGGCACTCAGGCATACCACCCTCTCCCAGCACAGTGAGGTCCAGGCTGTATGGAACCTTGTCTGGGAACACACCTCAGGACGGTTGGGGCATTGCCCGGCCACTCAACACATGCAGGTACAGAGGCCGGGGCCCCACAACAGCCAAGCAGAACCACAGGGCAGGGGTTCTTGCTTGACCTCATGTAGGAGGGTCCACACCAGCAGCTTCAGGCCCCTTGGAGCCTGTAGTCTGGCAAACTGTGTCCCCCAAGGGACTTTGTGAGGCAGTGCAGGTGCAGCCCTCCTTGGAGGGGTTCCAGAAAGGAGACCAAGGATGGGCTGGGAGGGCAGCTGTGACAGAACTTCTCAGCAGTGTGGACTCACCGGCCTCCCAGCCGTCTGGGGCTGTAGTGCCATGGAGTGGGTGGCAGAGGGTCCTATGTGGACGGCCCCTGGGGTGGGGCTGCAGCTGGATGCTGGCCAGGCTGACCATGGCTGGAGGGGAGCCCCTCTGGGCAGGGCCAGCAGAGAAGGGAAAGTGCAGCCACCAGCTGCAGGCCTGCCCTTGGGGGCCACAGTGCCCAGGGTAGAGCAGCTGGCCCCCGAGGCATCTCCCATGCCTCTCCCCTGGGGCCCTGCCCCGCCCTAGTGCAGGCGGCACAGGCCTCTGATCTACAGCCAGGCTCCGAGCAGCAGCTGTGGGTAGCTCAGACAGGGACGGTCACACCCCAGGGTGTCAGAGCTGGGCACCCTCAAAGGACACCGACCAGGGAGGTCAACGGGCAGGCGGGGCTGACTCGCACCCGTACCCCTCAGAAAGCCCTTCCACTAACTAGGGACCCCCAGCTGCCCACCTGCAACCACCCCTGCAGACCCCAATACAGTCTGGCAAGAACCAGGGCCAGCGCCCAGCCCCTAGAGGTGCCACTGTCCACAGCAGCCCCCTCCAACTGTGACTGCCGGGGATGCCTGGGGTCTCCCAGAGGTCTGTCCTGCACTACACTGGGACACGCAGCCCTGGGCAGGAAAGTGACCACAGCCTGGCTCTGGCCTGTTCAAGGGGAAGTCAGGCCCCACATGTACAGATACACCAGCACACACGAGACACACACTGCCTTGTTTAAACAAAATAAATTAAATGTATGCGGCTTCAGCAGGGAAGCCCAGAGCTGCTGGGGGCTGGGTCTTGAAGCCAGGCCAGCCCTGGACCCCCGAGCCCAAGCCCCTCAGCCCAGCCCTCCCCCTTCAAGATCACCTCTACTCCTTAAATATAAATAGGAGGCCCGTCCTCCCTGCCCACTCGGCCCCAGGAGTGGGCACCCAGGGAAGCAGCAGTCGAGGCCAGACAGGGCAGGTGTGACTGCAGCCGCCGTGGTCCCCAACAGGGCCGCAGGTTCCTTCATCAACTAGCCCGTGACTACATGTCACCTACATGTCAGCTACGTGTCACTGCAGAGCCTTGCCAAGGGTTCTGTGTGTTCTAGTGTATGCGAGCATTCCATTGTGTACATGTGTGCACATGTGTGTGTGTTGTGGCTATAGCCATGTGGTCAGGTGTGTACGCACAGGGACCCTCAGGTGCCAGTCGGTGTACCACCCTCCCTCCAGCCCGGCCCCTCGCCCATACCCACTCAGCATTGGTAATGGACATGCTGATGGATTTTGCCTTCCACGTGCGAGTGCGTGTGCGAGTGGGTGTGTGTGTGCGTGTGCACATCTCCGTACAGCTTAGGGTACAGCTTGGGAGCAGCCACTGAGCCCGGGCCCAGCAGGTGCTGGGCCGTGCCTGGGGGCCCAAGCCCCTCACACAGCCCCGCAGTGGGAGCCGCACTCAGGGAGGGCAGGTCCTTGTCCCCACAACGGTCACGGGCAGTGGCACCAGGTGGGCGGTGCCCAGGGGCAGCAGGAGTGCAGGGCTTCCTCCGAGCCTGGCATAGCCACAGCAGGACAGTGCCCAGGATGAAGACAGCGCCGGCTGGGATGCCGATGACCACAGGCCAGGGCAGGCTGCTGGCCGGCGATGAGGGTGCCACGTGTGGGCCCGGAGGCCTGGGGTCTGCAAGAGGGAGCCACGGGGATTCAGCCAGGCTAGCGTACCTCACACCCACCACAGCTGCACATCCCAGCAGCCCCTACCCCCCCGGCCTCACATGTCCCCAGCAGCCCCCACTCCCAGGCCCCACACGCACCCGGCAGCCCCACCGCGGCCCCACACGCACCCCCGCGGCCGCACACGCACCCGGCAGCACAGTGAGGAAGGCACTACGGAAGCTGTAGCCCATGGTGTTGGCGCCGAGGCAGATATACATGCCCGCGTCGTCCTGGCGCGCACGTGCGATGAGCAGCTTGTTGAGGTAAGAGCCATCAGGCCGCGACCACACCTCCCCCGTGGGCAGTACCACGAACTTCTGGCCGCCCACGTCGATGGTGGCATTGTGCCGGCCCTCGGCGCCGTACTCCACACGCTTCAGCCACTGGATCACCGGCTTCACGTCACTCCGCACTTTGCACTGGAAGGACGTGGTCCCGCCCACGTCCACCGTCGTGTTCACGGGGTGTGTGCCTGTCAGCACGGGCTTGGAGCGCGTGCGCTCTGCAGGGGGAGCAGAGGGCAGGTGTGGGTGGGCTGCCAGACCCCACTCCTGCAGGCCCCCCATCCCACCCTTCCTGCACTCACGGATCACGTCCACTTTATAGGTGGCATTGATGGCGCCCGCCCGGTTTGACACTCGGCAGGTGTACTTGCCACTGTCCTCCGGCCGCAGGTTCTTGAGACTCAGTGTCCACTTCTTCCGGTGCTCCCCCGCCTCCGCGTGCATCAAGGCCTGGTCGTCCTTCGTCCACGTGATGTCTGGCCGCGGGTGTCCACTGGCCACACACTTGAGGCGCACGGAGCTGCCCACGGGCCTGGCAATTACCCGGCGCCGCATCTTGGAGGGCTGAGTGAAACGGGGCCGTGCTGCAAGAGGGACACACGTAGGTCAGCGACCAGGGTCGTCACCACACCAGATGCAGGCCCCCAGCCTGACCCACACTTACCCCACTGCTGGCCAGTTGAATCTTCCTGGCCCCCAGGGGAGCCACTGGGCCCTGGGTTCACTTTCCCTGGAACATCATCTGTGGGGGAGAGGGATGTGGGCAGGTAAGTGGGGACCTGGCCAGACCACCAGGTGGCCCCACTGGCTGCCCTAAGAACCCACTGGGTTGCCAGATAGCTGGGCAAGAGTAGGCCCCACCCAGTCCCAGGGGCAGGTGACCCTGGCAGACACGGGTGGGACTGAAAGGCCACTCCCCACCCCCACCCCCAGTTCTGGGGTCTCTGCCGAGGCCGAGCGGGGAGGGGGCCAGGCCCAGCCGGCAGCTGCGGTAATCCTAGCCCACATCAAGGAGCCGCAGGCTTGGCCAGCAGGCAGGGCTCACATGCCTCCTGTCACCGGGCCTTTCCCAGGGCCACTGGGGGCAGCCGCATCCCCGCCCCCACCCAGCCAGGTCCCCAACCTGACCCAGACCAGGCCCGGGTGACGAGGGGGCACAATGAGGAATGCAGACCCCACCCGTGACAGCCGGGCCCTTGCCATTACCCAGGCCAGCCTGGCCCCAGGGCTCCACACCTGCCACTCTCGGTGCCCAGGCCATTTGCTTCCTGCGGCCCCTCTGAACTGGAAACCTGAGCCTCCCTGCGGGACCCCCACAGCACCCCACCCCCACTGACCGGCGACGACCAGGGTGTAGTTGAGGCTGAGGCTTCCGAAGCCATTGGTGGCCTTGCACACATATACGCCTGCATCCCCTGCCTCCACGGCCTTCACCTTCAGCCCCTGGGGCAGCACTCGGAAGCGGCTCCAACCGCCATGAATGGTCCGACCGTCCTTGGCCCACATGGTCAGGGGCGGCGGGTCCCCCTCCACTGGGCACTGCAGTCGCACCGTGCGGCCCAGCCGGGCCACCTGCCGTGGAACCACCTTGTCTGCCACGCGGGGAGGACCTGCCAGGAGTAGGGCAGTGTGAGGGGCGTGCTGTCAGAAGCTGGGGTGCCCGCATGCACCCCGAGTCCCGCCCTGGGGAATGTGGGCAGAGTGGGGCTCCTGCACCCACCCCAGGCATCTGAGGGTCTGCCTGTTGGGGGACCAGGTGGGCACAAGGTGCCTGCCAGTAGGGCAGCCAGCCCACACCACATCCTGACACTCAGGTCCAAAGGCTCCAGGACAGACTGCGCCACTCCCCGCCCCCCCCCCCCGCCGTCCACATATAGTGCTGGGCTGGGATCAGGATCCTCAGAGCCCCTCCAGCCTGGACCCTGCTCACATGTCCTCAGTGTAGGCCTGGTGGGAGAGGGGGAAGCTGCAGCAGGGCCTCCAGCGCAGCGCCAGGGACCCTAGACCCTCCCATCTGCCCTTGGCTGGGCTGGCCCCACACACTGCAGCTGAGCAGGGAAGAGCCAAGGCCCCTGGGTCCACATGGGCTCCCTGGGGCAGGGAGGGCAGTGCCATCCTGTGTGGACTGCCACACCTCCCTGGCTGTGAGGGAATTCCTGCTGTCCCCACTACAGGCTGAGGGTCACATCCCAATGCGGCTAGGGACACGCACCAGCCAGGGACCCCCACCCCAGGAAGCACCCCCATCCCTAGGCCCCCACTGCTCCACTCAATGGATACCCACTCAGATAGCAGGGAGCTGAGGAGACCCCGTCTGTCCCCAACAGTGAGAGCATGTGGACCCAGGTGGGCACTGTGCCTGGGGACCCCTTCCCCAGGCAGCGTGTCCAGGATTAGGCACACATGCGTGATGGGGGAACAAGGACAGGCGAGACCGGGGTGTGACCATGACCACAGGAAACAGAGGCCACAAGCCCAGCACGAGGGTCCGCTCTGCCCGGCTACCTGGCCCTGTGGAGCCCTGCTGGGCCCTAGGCTCCCTGGCCAGGCCAGCTGTGTCCCCTCCCCAAGTCCAGGCAGAGACTCACAGGGCCAGAACCCCCAACCACAGGTATTGCCCATGACTAACCAGCCCCACACTAAGATGCGCCTGAGCTCAGGGGATAGCACCCCGGCTGTGGGGCCACTCCACGCCCCAGCCACCACCACACCTGGGGTCCCTTAGGTCCTGCACACTTCTCAGGATCGGGACCCCCTGACCCAGGAGCCAAGGTCCAGAGACATGCATGTCACACAAGTACATGTGCACAAGCCTTGGCACTGCTACCAACCAGCTCCGGGCAGCCCTCAGGGCCTGGGACCACCTCCTCCTGTGCAGCCAGGGCTTGGCTGGGAACCCCAGCTTGTGACCTGGAAAAGCCCCTCCACAGGCCCTTGTCCCTTCACCCTGAGCCCACATGTGCCACCACTGCTGTGTCCACGGCAGGGGCTCCCAGCGCCAGGCCCCAGGCACACGGGACAGGCTGGGGACACCATACAGGCCCCTCTCCAATCTGGGCGTCCACAGGGCCGGGGCAGGCCTGTCCCTCCCTGCAGCAAACACACCGGCCAGGCAATCACCTGGACATGGCAGGGCCAAGCCCTGCAGACTCTGGCCACACGGGGGTGGGATCTGCGGGGCCTTAGCCCACCTCCCCCGCACTTGCCAGAGTGGGGCCCGGGCGGGGAGGCCTCGGCCGGGAAAAACCAACATCCCCTGGCGAGGGCCGAGCCACACAATGGACAGAGCTGGCGGCCGCGCCTGCAGCAGAGAAAGGCCGCTTTGTCCCCATTGCCGCCTGCCCGGCCTGGGCCCTGATTTATTTCCCTTCCAGGACGTGGCGCTGGCCCGCAGCCTCGCCTCCCGGCGCCCGGGCGCGGCTCCCGCACACCCACCTCCACCGCTGCTGGAGGTGGAAGCTGGCGCCGGGCAGGGGCACCCACCACGGCCCCCTGCACATACAGCCATGCACACACACACCACACACACACAGCTCAGCCACCTCCCCCGAGTCCTCCTCACTCAGCACCCACAGTTGGCCCTGGGCCACCCTCGAGGGGCTGGGAGGGCCACGTTCACAAACCCACTGATGACCCGTCAGCCACACTGGGGACACAAGACGCTTCCCCCAAGATGTAGGGACAAGCCCCAGATGGGGAAGCGGGAAGGAGCTTGGTAGATGTGGCCAACCCTGGCCACGCGGCCAATAGGCCCTCGGTCACCTCACCCACATGCCTTCCCACCCGTGCCCCGGTCCCCTGGCTCTGCCAGGGACGAACCAGGTGTGATACAGGCGTTCCAGGGCAAGCACCAGGCCCTGCCTGTGTCCGGTTGCTCACCAGTTAAGCCAGCGGGTTGGGATGGGCAGGTGCTGGGATGGGCTGAGTGGGCACATCAAGGGGGGGTGGTTGGTGCCCAGGCCCAAGGCCATGGGGGGCTCACCCCAGGCAGCCCAAGTACCCGGCTCCACCCAGTTTGGCCGCGCCTGGACAGCCCCCACCCTCCGGCCAGCCAGTCCCCAGCGGGCACTGGGCAAGGCGGGCACAGTGGCAGAAGGCCCACCTGGGCCGCCGCCCGCCGCCCAGCACCGAATGTGGCCATATAAGGCCGGGCCGTGCGCTGGCTGGCAGTGGGGGAGGGGGACGTCTCAGGACTGGTGGACAGGGCAGGGCCTGGCCCAAGGTCCCGCCTCGCCAGGGAAGAGGCCAGCCCGCACCCTCGTGACACAGGGACATGGCGGGCAGTGGTGGCGGTGCCCTCGCAGGGCTGTGTCCAGGACGGGGCAGTCCAGGTGGCCATCAGGTGTGTGATGACCTGCCTTGCCACAGCCTCTGGGCGAGCAGCGACCCCTCCAGGCTGGTATCCCCTAGCCCCCAGCTGGCCTGGAGGGCAGGCCTGGGCACAGTCTGCTCAGACTAGCAGAGTGCACTGGGTCCTGCGGGCCGTCACACAGTCGGCGATGCCATTCACACCTCAAAGCAGGGAGGCACTGCAGGCCCCTGGGGGGCCACAGCCAGGTGCCCACCGAGCACAGGGCACAGCCACCAACGTCCTCTCACCCACAGAACCGTCCGGGCAGGGGCCTCGAGTGTGGGGATAGGACGAGACCCACGCCAGGATGCACCAGAGGCCACTGGCATGTGGTGGGTGGGACAGCAGATCCTGAAATGAGGACAGGGCCCCCGGGGTGAAGCAGGTGACGCAGGGGTTGCTGGGAGGAGGGGACCCCCAGGGATGAGCGCTAACCTCAGACGTGGGCAGGGAAGCCCAAAGACGCAGGAGACACTGCAACGAAGGGAGAGCCCAGCATGAGAAGAGACCCCCGGGGTGAGGGCGGGTCCCTGGGTGGGCTGCGCCCCCGGGGGCGGGGACGACTCACCTCGGGCCGCTGCGGCCGGCGGGGGGGCCCCCAGCGGAGGCAGCAGCAGCGGGAGCAGCAGCGGGAGCAGCAGCGCCGGGCGCCGCGTCATCGTCGGGCCGGGGGCGTGTGAGGGGGGCGCGGTCACCGGCTCGGGGTCCGGCCGCGCCCCGCCCGCCGCGCTCCACGGGGGCAGCCGCGGGGAGAAGCTGCGCGGGGCGAAGAGACAAAGGCGCCCGCTGAGCGCCCGCCGGGGCCCGGCCGCCGTCCGGACGCGGCCCCCCTCCCGCAGCGCCGCCTGCGCCATTGGGGCCGAGGCCGGAGACGGGGCGGTGGGGGGTGGGGGGGACGGAGCGTGCCGGGGCCCCGGGGACCCCGGCCTCCCTCCCCGGCCTCCCACCCGGCCCTCCCACCCTCGCCGCCGCCTCGGGGGGCGCGCGCAGCGCGGAGCTCACCTCGCCGGTTCAGGGCCGGGCCCTCGGGGCGCGCGCGGGCGATCACCGCCGCCCCGGGCGCCGCATCCCGGCCCCGCGCCCCCGGGCCCGGCCTCGGGGCGGGGCGGCGCTACCTGGCGCGGGGGGCGGCTGGGGCCGGGGCGCGGCGCGGGGGCGCGGGGGCGCGGGGGCGCGCGGCGGGGCCGGGGTCCCGGCGGCGGGGAGGGCCCGGGGGCGCCGCGCCGCGAGGCGTCCTTCCCTGCGGGGCTTTGTCAACTCTCCCGGAGCGAGCGCCGAGCCCGCCGCGCGCCCCGCCCCCGCGCCCGCGCCGGCCAGTCCGCGCGCCCCGGCCCGCCCCGCGCCGCGCCCCCGCCGCGCCGCCGGCCAATCCACGCGCCCGCCCCGCCGCGCGCCCCGCCCCGCCGCAAAACTTTCCTCCAATTCACGCGCGGCTCGAGCCTTAACCCTCGCGGCGCGGGCGGCCCCGGCGGGCGGGCGGCTCCCCGGGGCGTGACCCGCGCCCGCCCCCTCCCCGACCCTGACCCGCCCCGGCCCGCCCCGCGCCCCGCCCCGCGGCTCTCCCGGAAGGCGCCGGCCCGGGCCTTGCGGCTGGCGGCGCGGGCGGCTTGCTGGGCGCGACCCCTGCCGCCCACCCGGCTCCGGCTCGCACACCTGCAGCGGCCGGCGGGACCGGGGCGCAGGGCTAACCCCGCGGGGCAGGTGCTTCCGCGCGGCCTGCGGTGGCGGGAGTGGACCCCGGCCCCCGGGCCGTGTCCAGAGGAGATGCGCTCGCGGCCGGTCCTTCCCGGACAGAACTTGGGGTCTTCCCGCGGTGCCCCTCCGCGCCAGCCAGGTGACCGCCCAGCGGAGACCCAGCCGCGCGGTCCCTGGAAAGCCCTAACCCGGAAGCCCCTTCTTCCAGGCAGCCGTCCTTTCCCGAGCTAACACGGATAGCGAGCGCCCCGAGGCCGACCGCTGCGCACACCTTAGAGGCACCAGGGCGCCCCGTCCCCGCGTGATCACGAGGTCCCGCCCAGGCCCTGTGTCGGGAACACGCACAGGTGCTCCGGGGGCGTGGGGAGGCGACGCTGGGCCTCAGCGGCAGGTGTGGGGGCGGAACGAGCGCCGACAGGTGTGCGCGCGGCCAGGGGCAGGTGTGTCCAGGCGTCCTGGAACGCGGTGCGTCTGGGAGCAGGGACGAGGGGCCGACCGGGGCCCCCGAGCCGGGTCGGGGGCAAGGTGGGCGGTGCAGCAGAGTGGAGGGGCGACCGCAAGCAGGTGAGCGACGAGGCACGGCCGAGGCCCGGCGTGGCCAGGAGCCCCCTCCGCCTGCTGCCCTCTGGCGGCAGCGGCTCCCCGCGCGCCCGGCCGGCCGCGCCTCGCCACGTGGAGCCCGCTGGCCCCTTCGCTGGTCCGCCCGCCCCTCGCGCACCTCCGGGACGGTGGCGGTGCTGCAGGCGGAGTGGGGAGCAGAACGTGTGCGCCGCCACGCCAGTCCAGCTCCCTGGAGACGAAGTTCGCTGGTGTGACCCAAGGAGCAGGTGCGGGGGCTGCGTGGCTCTCTGGCAGCAGTGGCGATCCTAAAGAGGCGCCGGGGCTGTGCTACCCCTGTGCAGAGCTCCGGGGCCAGGGGCGAATGGACAAAATCCGCAGGGAGGGCGGGAGTAGAAGGCACACCCAGGTGCCCGGAGCCGTGTGGGGAGGCCCTGCGCCTCCGGAAAAGGGGCGTCCACCTGGAAGATGGTCCATGTCTTCTCTGGCTGCCGCGTACACGAGTCCAGTCTCGGACCCCTCCTGTCCAGGGATGTCCACCCCCCCGCAGCTGGTGGGTCCTGTCACACCCGCCAGGGGGTCGCAAGGGCAGGTCCAGGGACCCAAGCTCCCCTCAGGCCTGCCACCCCCACACTGGAGTCCAGGGGGCTCCCAACCCTTCCTCCTTGGCCAGGCACCCTCCCTGCAGAAGCCCCTGAGGGATGCTGGGAGCAGCACCCTTGGTGGGCAGCCACCACGGGTGCCACACTGCAACCTCCTGGAAGGCATGCAGCTGACCTGGGCAGGAAATGCCACGGGGCGCACCTGTGCTAGGGGCTCTGTCCCTCAGGAAAGTGTCAGATGCCAGCCTCCTGTGACCACCCACAGCCCCATGCAAGCAGCCAAGCTGGCAGGGACAGGCAGCAGGCCGTGCAGCTGACCAGAGGGCTGACTGCTGGGCACAGCTCTGGCTCCTGCCATCCTACCTGCTTCTCAGCCCTGGTCCAGCCCCTGCCCCTCCCACTAGTGTGCCTAGGCTCTGTCCTGCCAGCTTTGCCCCGTCAGCTTGAGGTCTGACTGCTCCGCCCCCATGCAGCCACCAGGTCCTTCTGCTGCCCGTTGGAGAGCAATGTCGACACCGTCACTATCTTCCCATGTGCCCGGGGTTCATGCCACCCCTCCACTGGCCTTGGGTCTGTGCGGTGGAGCCCATCCATCAGTCATAATTGTTACCTGCTTGGGCACCAGCTGCTCCTTCCTGGGAAAACACCCCCTTTCCCACCTGCCTGGCCGTGGCCTGGGGGCTCCAGCTGAAAGAGGGCCCAGCACCCCTGCTCTGGCTAGTCCAGGCTGCGCGCCCCACTTGCTTGCTGGCTTGCAGCCATGGCAGTCAGCAACACAAGCCTCAGACCACCCTCTGCCGGGCTGGGCACCCACCTTTGGAAGAATTATTGGTTCTGTAGATTTATTTACTTGGAAGGTAGAGAGAGATGAACATCTGTCCTAAGTTCACTGCCCAGTTGGCTACGGCAGCCAGGGCTGGGCCCAGTTGGAGCCGGGCGCTTCATCTGGGTCTCTCCTGTGGGTTCCCACCACCTGGGGTCCCCTGCTGCACACTCTGGCTCCCCACTCCATGGCCAGGGACACCTGAATGTGGCCTCTTACCACTCAGGGCCCCTGTTCCCCCTCCCTCCATTTGGACCCAGGGCGGGGGTCCAGCTCTGCTCTGACTCCAAGTACACAGTCAGGAAGCCTGGGCGAGCCAATAGTCAGCTGATAGAGCCTGCTGGGGGGCAGGGGAGGAGGTCAGGCCGGGCTCCATGGGGACGCAAACCACCCTCAGCCTTCTGGCAGGTTTAGCTAGAGCCAGGCACCAAAGCTGACCTGAGACTGGCCATGTGATGGCACTTTAAGGGGTGGGGAGGGGACGAATGGCTGATGGCCAGCTGGTCACAGGGTGGCCCCAGCTCAGGCTGCCTGGTCCGGAGGGCAGCACCGGCTCACAGGTCATCAGCTGCTGGGCCCTCGCCAAGAGGGACCTCGCAGTACCGGACGGGGTCAGAGAAAGGGCCTGTCCGCTGCCAGTAGTCCACTGCTCGGACTCGGTAGGAGCCGGAGATGACACCTGTGACTGGGAGCACGTGTGTCCCTGAGCCCCCGCAGGGTCCATAAGTTCCCCACCCCGTGGAGGCCTGGGACCACCATGGCCAGGCCAGGCATACCTGGGCTGAACACAAAGAGGTTGAAGGTGGACGGCGCCCTGCTGACCGGGGTGTAGGCCTTCCCCTCTGCGGAGAACTGCACCTCGTAAGTCCACAGGCACCTGCAGATGGAGTTGGGCCAGGACTGGGTGGACTCCCAGATCCCTTCCCTGGGCAGTGACGGCCACACTGGAGTGTGCGGTCGTGGGGGGTCAGAAGATGCAGTGAGGTACCCTGGGGTGCCCCACTGTAGAGAGAGGCCAGAAGGTGTAGTGGAGGACCCTGGGGTGCCCAGTCGTAGAGGGGGCACAGCTGGGATGGGGAAAGAGGGAGACAAGCGGATACAATGGGAGATCCTGGGATGCCCGGCTGCTGGGGGATGCCAGGCTGTGTGGGGAGCAGCAGCCACACTCACGTACTTGGAGCCCACTCCTTCATCAGACCAGACCAGAGCCAACTGACCTTGGGTCAGGGGCAGAACACGAAGCCGGGTTACCTGGGGGAGGCACGACTTGGTTGAGCGGCTACCTGCAGGCGCTGCACATGCGCCGGGGCAGACACTGGATAGGTGGGCACTTGCCTGGCCGGGCAGGTCCCGCGAAGGTGTGCACAGGTGCACCAGCAGCAGTGAGGGCAACGGGAGCTCGCGGTGCAGTGTCAGGCGGCCCTCCACAGGGAGAGTACGCGGTGCTGTCACCACCGGGTCCTGCAGGCAGTGGTGGGTCCTCAGTGCCCTGGAGGCTCGGTGACCCCCAGAGCCTCCCCTAACCCTAGGCTGCCTGCCCTGCTCACCAACCTCAGCTGCGCGTATGCGCCGGAACTGCTCTGGTGTGGGGAAGACGGGGCTGCCGAGTCGCTGCCACTCGCCGTGGGGACTGCAGAGTCGGTTATCCAGGTAGTGCGTAACATAGACCAGCCCTGGGGAGCCAGACGCTGGGGCCTTGGCCACTGTGGGCGCCCCTAGCCCGGATGCCCGGGCCCCACCCCAGGCACCAGATCTCCCTGGGTTTCCCTTGCTCACCCTGGCTGGGGGGCACCCCGCGAAGGCGCAGGGTCACCGGGACACTTCGGTTGGTGTGGGCGCGGGTGTCATCGCTGGCATAGACCAGCAGGGTGGCGCGCCATCCGTCACCAGGGCCCTCGGGGCGGTGGACACTGGCCAGGACCCCCAGAGTGTGGTTACTGTCCAGCACGGTGCCAGCCCGAGACACCTCAGCCCAGAGCTGCTCTCCATCTGCGGGGGCGCCAGAAGTGCATTGTACGCTGTGGCCACGTGGGAGGGAGAGCGGCCCTCACCGCCGCCATCCCTTGGAGGGGTCCACAACCCGGGTGCAGACGGAGGGTGTGTGCTTGGCATCATGTGCAGAAGACGCCCCTGCCCGTGACTGCAGCCCGCACCCAGCTCACCCAGCAGAGCCAGCAACCCCATGGCGGTCAGCACCGGCTTGCGCAGCAGTTGCACGTGCGGCGGGTGCGTGTTGTTGACCTGGAAACGCGCGGTCAGTGTGCGCTGCGTGAAGGGATGCGGGTGGTAGCTCAGGAAGGCGTTGTCGTTGCTCAGCAGCGCATAGTGAACGGCGGAGCTGGCGTTGGCTACCAGTAGGTTCTGATGCTGTGCGATGACCTGCGGACCGGGGTGGGGGTATTGGGCATTTGGCCGCACTGGATGTGCCCCGACGGGGTGGCCCGGGCGGTGGGCGCGCGCACCTTCACCACCATGGCGGCGTAGGTCACGTCGGCCCTCCAGGCGCGCGGCAGCGCCCAACCCACCAGCGGGTCAGCCTCGTCGTTGTGCACCGGCGTGCGGGAGAACTCGGGGAACAGTTCCCGTATCCGCTGCAGAGCTGCCGCCTCCTGCTCCAGGATGAAGATGGAGCTGCCCGCACCCTGCGCACAGCGCCCGCCTCAGCGCGCCGCGCCGGATGCCGGCAGGGAGTGGGGCAGGGCGGGGCGCGCCGCACCTTCTTATGCAGCGAGATGAAGTCCAGCCGCACGCCGCGCTCCCCGGTGAAGAAATTGGTGCCGCGGGCGCAGTGTTCCAGGAGGCTCCAGCTCAGCGGGGAGCGCGGCGGCGGCCAGAACGAGTCTGCAGGGCCGCCCAGGCGCAGCGCGGGGCTGGCGGCGCGCAGACCCTCGGAGCAGGCGTCGTAGTAGTTCAGAAAGCCTGGGCGGGGGCGGTCCCTGAGCGGCGTGGGGACGGCTGCACCACCCAGCCCTTCCACAGCCCTGAGGGATCCGGGTGCCCACCTTGCGTGGTCATAGAAACATTGTCGAAATCATGGTGGTCCGGCTCGTTCCAGGTCTCAAAGTTCCACCGAGAAAGGTGGTCCAGCCCATACCGATCTGAGGACGGGGGTTGTGCGGGGAGGGAAGACCCTCTCCAACGGGACCCCCCCTCACACACACAACCGCTGGCCCCTCAGGCGCCCACGCTGACTCCCACTGCTTACCTATATATCTGTTGGCTAGAAGGGAGACCAGGGCTTTCCAGCCGAACACCTGCTGCTTGTCCTCAAAGTCCGTGAAGCGGCCAGAGGGGCTGCCCATCAGCTCAAAGCCTGACACACCGGAGACAGGCTGGCTGACCACTCTGCTTCCCTTACCCCCGGGGCCAGTGGCTGGGCACGGGGAGGCAAGGGAACAGGGCCAGCCCTGGCTCGCCTACCTGGGAGGAGCTGGTTGTCTCTGAGCAGATCCAGGTACCTGTCCAGGTGTGTGAAGTTGTAGCTCAGACCCTGCCCCGCTGAGTGCCTGTGGGAGGACAGCGGGAGTGGCTGAGGGCCGGGCTACCAGCCTTGGGCTGGACCTGCACTGCAAGCAGGCAAGGCCTGGGCTCCGCAGGAAACTCCAGCGCTCCAGAAGCCCAGTGGCTGCCCAGGGTGGAGACAGCCTGCAGGAGGTGGGAGAGCCAGCACGGGGCAGGGGGCAGGCAGGGCTTTGGGAAGGTATGAACAGGGCTGCCGATGACTGTCCCCACTCCGGTGGATGGAGGCCTTCCTAAAGCCGTGCCTGCAGTGGACCTGGTCCCTCGAGAGCTGGCTGAGTCTGCAGAGGGGTCAGCCCTGTGGGGCCAGCAGGACGAGGCAGGAAGCCCTAGGTGCAAAGAGCATGGCGAGCTGGGGCTGTGACTGGCTCCATCACACACTGGGCCAGGACACATACGCTGGACGGCCTGAACCCCCACCCACTAGTGGGCCACACCTCCTCCAGTCTCAGCAACAGCTGCAGGAGGGTAACGAGCAACACCAGGGCATGGGCGGAGGCCAGGGCCCCGGCATCAGCCCAGCCTCACCCACTGAGCCATCAGAAAAGGGGATGGAGTGGTCCCGGAAGGAGCATACTCCGGGCTCCTCGCTGCAGCCTGGCAAGCCCTGGCTGCTGTGAACATGTGGGGGTGACCGAGGACACAGAGGACGTGCCTCCTTTTCTCTTGGTCTCTCAGCCTCTATTTTCTGAGATTTATTTCCTTGAGGGGAAGAGACAGAGATGCGATCCTCCATCCACCGATTCACCCCCAAATGGCTGAAGCCAGGAGCCAGGAGCCTCTTCCAGGTCTCCCAAGCGGATGCAGGTTCCCAAGGCTTTGGGCCGTCCTCAACTGTTTTTCCAGGAAGGAAACTGGATGGGCAGTGAAGCAGCCAGGGCGTGTGGTAGCGCCTATGTTGGATGCCAGTGCTGTAGGTGGTAGTTTAACACTCCTTCACTCTTTTCAGATCAAGGCAGAGTTGGCGTCCATCTGTGGCACCAGCATCCCCTGGCCCGGCCGCTCCACTTCTGGCTCAGTTCGCTGCGGATGTGTCTGGGAAAGCAGCGGGAGATGCCCGCATGGGACACCCTGAAGCTCCTGGCTCTCGGCTTCAGGCCAGCCCAGCTCTGGTTGTTGCAGCCATTTGGGGAGGAAACTGGCAGACGGAAGACCTCTCTGTCTCTACTTCTTGTGACTCTTTGAAATAAAAATCAAATTTAAAACAAAATCCACCCAAGTGGTGGTAAGTGTGCAGACTAGAGGCTGTGGGGGCAGATGGTGGGGGAGGGGTGCAAAGTTCGAGTGAACAGGGTGGGCCTGGGGATCGCGGTCTCCGGGCTGCGCCTACAGGGCATCCCCTGGAGCCGTGCACGGGGCTTCCTCAGGCTACCCCCAGAGTGCAGGAGGCGGCTGTGGGCGACACGGCAGAGCAGCGTCAGACCCGCCACAGGCCGGCTGCCCCGCCTGCTCAAAGCAGAGCTCTACACCCAGCACGCACCGGCCGAGGTGCCCGCCAAGCGCCGAGCAGCGGGGCGCGGGGCGCAGGGCGCAGACCCCGGCCGGCGCGTGCGCCGTGAGGACCGAGCCGCTGCGAGATGGTGAGTGCGCGTGCGCGGGACGGCGAGCCGCGGCGGCCCCCCAGGCGCGACCGGCCCCAGCCCGTGGGATGTGCCTGCGCGGCCGCTGACGCTGCCCGGAGCTGGCCTGTGTCGGGTCACACTGCCAAACCCGCCCCCACAGGGGGCGACCCCTCTCCCCGCCACAGACCCTCAGCGCCAAGCCTGGCTGGGCCCGAGGACTCGCCCCCTGCACCCCACCCCCAGGGACCAGGGAGGGCGGGGTGCCGGTTCCCCCCAGGTGAGGTTCCCAGCCTTCTGCAGCACTGTGAAGGACTGGAGGCCTTCCGGGGTGGGGAGGCGCCTCTGCCGACCAGCAACCCCCTGCGTCCACTCGCGGAAGGGCTCACAGCTGGACACTGTGGCCTTCAAGTGCCCCAAGAGCAGAAAGCAGGCACAAGGACTAGTGTCTGAGCTCTGGCAGCCTGCTCCCCACGCTGGACAGAGAAACCAGCACCCTTCTGGGACTGCTGGGCCACTGTGCCTCACCCCTTCGGGCCTGGGATCTGAAGCCCAGTTCCCGGACACCCCCCTGCTCCAGCCTGCTGTGTCCACCTGTGAGGGTTCTGATTACAGAACAACCTGCTAGGTTGGCCACTCAGGAGGCTCCTGCCCTTCCGGGGGGGGGGAAACCATGACTCAGCTGTACTGGGGTAAATCATTGAACTGCAGGGCCCTGGACACACGGCGCTCCTCGCGGGTCAAGGCCAGATCCGCCACTGTGTCCACTCACCCACCCATCCGCCTGGACAGCCTGCGAGGGGTCCCCAGGTGAGGACGCGCCCCAGGCCCTGGTCACAGGGCAGCGCTTGCTGGACGGGGAGAACAGGAGTTGAGACGGGCCCAGCACCCTAACTTCTCTGCACACAGGTGAACGGCTTACACCCAGGGGCGTGGGCAAGCCTCCAGGAGCCCAACACCAGTGGGGAGGGGCCTCGGACGGAGGGGACACAGCTTTCACTGTGTCCTGGGCGTCTGGCTTGGGGACAGAAGCACCCTGGGACCCAGTGGCCAGTTGGGAGTCGGAGGGCGTATGGGAGCCACCTCCAGTGCTCACCAGGGCAAGGCTGGGATACAGGCTGGCCGGCACAGCATGTGTGGGAGGAATGCCCATGGCCATGTGGCTCCATCCCTGTGTCGAGTCAGCAGACAGCCTGGGGATCCCTGCACCTCTCCAGCCCCAGCCACACGGCTGCTCCTGGGGCAGGGCTTAGTGTCCAGTCCCGGGCTCTCCCATCTGATCCAGTCCTGGATCCTCCCACAGGTTGGCCAGCTGATGGAAGTGCCCCCGGAGCCTGTGCTGGTTCGGCGCCAGCACCCCACCCCCCGGGGATTGCTGGAGACACTCAAGGGCCAGCTGAGGCGCAGCTGGGCATGCAGTGGGCCACGGGCCCGGGCACTGCTGCAGGACCTGGTGCCCGCCTCATACTGGCTGCGCAGCTACAGCCCGCGGGAGGACCTTCCAGGGGATGTGGTGTCAGGGCTGGTGATTGGCATCATCCTGGTGCCCCAGGCCATCGCCTACTCACTGCTGGCTGGGCTGCAGCCCATCTACAGCCTCTACACTTCCTTCTATGCCAACCTCATCTACTCCCTCCTGGGCACCTCCCGCCACGTCTCCGTGGGCATCTTCAGCCTGCTCTGCCTCATGGTGGGCCAGGTGGTGGACCGGGAGCTCCGGCTGGCCGGCTTCGACCCCGCTTATGACAGCCAGGGGCCTGGAGCTAATAGCAGCATCTTCAACAGCTCGGCGTTCCCACTGGGGCCCGGGCTCCAGGGCTGTGGGCATGACTGCCACGCCATCCGTGTCGCCACTGCCCTCACCCTGGTTACCGGTCTATACCAGGTGAGGAGGGGATGGCTGGGCAGGTCCAGGCAGAGGTGGGCACTGTGTCTGAGGGGCTCAGGGGCTTCCCACACCAGCCTGTTAGCCCTAGCCACCTGGGTTCCCCCAGCTCCCCAGGCTCCCGCTAGCTGCACTCCATTCTGTCTGTAGGTGCTGATGGGCATCCTCCACCTCGGCTTCGTTTCCACCTACCTCTCACAGCCGCTGCTGGATGGCTTTGCCATGGGGGCCTCAGTGACCATCCTGACCTCACAGCTCAGGCACCTGCTGGGGGTGCAGCTGCCCCGGCACCAGGGACCCGGCATGGTGCTTAGGACCTGGCTGAGCCTGCTGCTCAGCGCCGGGCAGGCCAACCTGTGTGACGTGGTCACCAGTGCCTTGTGCCTGGCCGTGCTGCTGGCCACCAAGGAGCTGTCGGATCGCTGCCGGCACCGCCTGCGGGTGCCACTGCCCACAGAGCTGCTAGTCATCGTGGCAGCCACACTGGTGTCCCACTTTGGGCGGCTCAACGAACGCTTTGGCTCCAGGGTGGCTGGGGACATCCCCACGGGCTTCATAGCTCCACAGGTGCCGGACGTGGAGCTGATGGGACGCGTGGCCCTGGATGCGGTGCCCCTGGCCCTGGTGGGCTCGGCCTTCTCCCTGTCACTAGCTGAGATGTTTGCCCGCAGCCATGGCTATGCCGTCCGGGCCAACCAGGAGCTGCTGGCTGTGGGCTGCTGCAATGTGCTGCCCGCCTTCTTCCACTGCTTCGCCACCAGCGCCGCTCTGGCCAAGAGCCTGGTGAAGACGGCCACGGGCTGCCGGACGCAGCTGTCCAGTGTGATCAGTGCCGGCGTGGTGCTGCTGGTGCTGCTGGTGCTGGCCCCGCTTTTCCGCGACCTGCAGCGCAGCGTGCTGGCCTGTATCATTGTGGTTAGCCTGCGGGGAGCGCTGCGCAAGCTCAGGGATGTCCCCCGGCTGTGGCGGCTGAGCCCGGCAGATGGCCTGGTCTGGGTGGCAACTGCGGTCACCTGTGTGCTGGTCAGCACTGAGGCTGGGCTGCTGGCCGGGGTGCTGCTGTCTCTGCTCAGCCTGGCGGGCCGTACTCGGCGCCCCCGGGCTGTGCTGCTGGGCCGGGCAGGGGACTCGACCATCTACGAGGACACTGTCGAGTTTGAGGGGCTGGTACCCGAGCCAGGGGTACACGTGTTCCGCTTTGGGGGGCCACTGTGCTATGCCAACAAGGACTTCTTCTTGCGGTCCCTCTATGGCCTCACAGGGCTCGATGCAGGGCACCGGTCAGCCAGGAGGAAGGAGCTGGGTCCCCAGGAGGCAGAGGGAGCCAGTGTGCTGGTGCCCGGGACAGCAGGCTTCCACACGGTGGTCCTTGACTGCGCCCCTCTGCTCTTTGTGGATGCTGCCGGCTTAGACACCCTGCGGGAACTGCGTGACAACTACCAGGCACTGGGCGTGGCCCTGCTGCTGGCTGGCTGCAGCGCCCCAGTGCGGGACGCGCTGGCGCGGAGCGGCTTCTTGGGAGTGGGTGAGGCACAGCAGCTGTTTCACAGCGTGCACGGCGCCGTGCAGGCTGCCCGGGCCCACCACAGCAGCCAGCTGGCTGACTGCGGCCTCTAGCCAGGGCATGGTGGGCCGAGAGCCTGGGCAGGGGGTTTTGCGCTACAGGATCTTCCACCCTGGGCCTGAGCTCAGAAATGGATGCCATGCCAAGTTCCTGCTTTCTGTCCCATCCTAGAAGTGTGTGCAGCAAACTCCAGGGCTGACCAAGCCACAGAGGGTAAGGCCTCTCCCCGGGGTGCTGCTGATGCTTGCTGGACCTACTCCAGGGGCCAGGTGGGTGGCTTGCAGCCCCAACTCCCGCCAGCAAGCGCAGATGTGTCCCCACTCCCCTGTGCCCTCTCCCGCCCACACTCACGCACCTAGCAGTGACCAGGCTGAGCAGCCAGTGGGTGCGGACCTGTTGGATGCCTCCGTGCGGGACTGCGCCCACGTAGGCCAGGTTGAGCTGCTGGTCCCAGCTGAGGTCGTAGCGGGCGGCCTGGTCGTGCGGCAGTGGGGGGCTAGGGTGGACGTGGAGCTGCGTGAGACCCCAGCGGGGCACAGGGCTGGCCCTGCAGGTGAGACCCCAGCGGGGCACAGGGCTGGCCCTGCAGGTCCGTGGGCACTCACCAGAAGCCGGTGCTGCGCCAGAAGGGTCGCAGGGGCCCCCGCACGCGAGCCGCGTCCACGCGCACCAGGTGCGGGGCCTCGGCCAGGGCGGCCGGGGGCGCGGCCAGCAGCGCGGCCAGCGGCGCCAGCAGCGCGGCCAGGGGTCGCGGGGGGCGCATGGCCGGCCCAGGGTCCTGCTGCGGCCGCCCCAGCGGCTCCGGACGCTTCCGGGAGGGGCGGAGCCGGAGGCCTAGGCGACTGCAGCCCGGCCCCTTCCCGGAAGGCCGGCTGGTTCCCTGCGGACGGGACGGGGAGACGCGGGGCCTCGCGGGGTGTGGGCGGGCGGGCGCGGGGTCCCGCGTGTGGGTTTGGGGTCAGGGAGCGGGGTCCCGCGTTGTGTGGGTCTGGGGTCGCGCGTGTGGGTTTGGGGTCGGGGGCGGGGTCCCGCGTAGTGTGGGTCTGGGGTCGCGCGTGTGGGTTTGGGGTCGGGGACGGGGTCCCGCGTAGTGTGGGTCTGGGGTCGCGCGTGTGGGTTTGGGGTCGGGAGCGGGGTCCCGCGTGGTGTGGGTCTGGGGTCCAGCGTGTGGGTTTGGGGTCGGGGGCGGGGTCCCCCGTGGTGTGGGTCTGGGGTCGGGGTCCCGCGTGGTGTGGGTCTGGGGGCGGGGTCCCGCGTGGTGTGGGTGGGATTTGGGGTCCCACCGGTGTTGGACAGGTGGGCTCAGCACACGCTGAGCAGGGGTAACCTGCTGGGGAGTTTCTAAAGCGCATTCTGGGGACCTTGTTCCACCCCACGTGCTCCAAGTTCAGATTCCAACGGGGGAATGACAGTGATGACCTGCGGTGGGAAGAGATCAGCGAACCCCAACAGGTGGGAGTCAGGAGCGATTCTGCAGAGTGAAATGGGGTGAGGTGGTTCTTAGGGGACCCATGAACGCATGGCACTTAGGACCAGGAGCCACTTTGTGCCCCAGCTGCTCCAATTCCCAAGCAGCTCCCTGCTGTGTCCTGGGACAGCCTTTGGACCCTTCACCCGTGTGGGAGACCGGGAAGAAACCCCTGGCTCCTGGCTTCGGTCGGTTCAGCTCTGGTTATTGCAGCCACATGGAGAGTGAACCAGTAAATGGAAAATCTTTGTCTCTTTTTCTCTTTGTAAATCTGCCTTTCAATAAAAGTAAATCCTTAAAAATAAGTTATTTTAATTTAGGTCTCCTTGTGTGTAAGTTGCAAGATGAAAATGTCAAACTTAAGCATCTGAAAGAGCGGTGGTGTGGACTGAGTCCCAAACAGCAGAGTGTAAGACAAAACTAAAAACGGGAAAAAAACGGGGAAAAAAAATTTAAGAAGCAGAGTGGAGTCCTGTGCAGACACGCTGGGGACTTGCAGGTGTCCCCGCCAGAAGGGCCTGCAGGGTTCCACCACAGCGGGGCAAGCTGGGGCGACCACCTGGGTCCCGGCCCCCAAGGGCACTGCCAGGCCTGAGGGCGCGTGGCCCCCCGGGCCTCCCAGGACTGCCCAGGGCTGAGGGCGGCCCGGAGGAGGCAGCGGAGCTGGGCTGGGTCAGGAGACCATGCACTCCCTGAGCCCCGGCAGGCCACGCCCCCGGCGATAGGGCCACGCCCCACAGAGGCCCCGCCCCCGGAGCACAGAGCACGCCTTGCGCAGGCCCCGCCCCAGAGCACAGAGCGCGCCGTACAGAGGCCCCGCCTCAGAGCACAGAGCGCACAGTACAGAGGCCCCGCCCCCGGAGCACAGGCCCCGCCTCAGAGCGCAGAGCACGCCCCCATCGAGATCCCACCCTACAGGGGCCCCGCCCCGCGCCTGCGCAGTTGGTGGTGGGGTCGGAAGCGAGCGGCGGCCGCCGGCCCGGCCGTGACTGCTGCCCGGCAGGCTCGGGCGCTGCAGTCGCTCGGCCGGCATGGCGGCGGCGGAGCAGGCCGGCGGCCCGACTGGGGTCCCCGCGCCGGGCGGCGGGAAGGGCGCGGGAGCGGGGCGCGCGAGCGGCGGAACCCCAGGACACGGCTTCCGCAAGGTCACGCTCACCAAGCCCACCTTCTGCCACCTCTGCTCCGACTTCATCTGGGGGCTGGCCGGCTTCCAGTGCGACGGTGAGCGCCCCGCCGCAGTGCGGGCTGTCGGGGCCCTGCCTGGCCTGGCTGTCCTCGCGGCCCTCGCTCGGCCGCACCCCGGGTCCTGCAGGTGGGCCCAGCCGGGTCTGCTGCCCAGGCTGCTTCTGGCCGAGCCAGGCCGATGCCCACCAGGAGGAGGGCCTCCTGGGAGAGCTGCCCGTCGGTCAGTGTGACCCTTGGCCCCCTGTGCCCTGCCGTGGACGCAGCTCGTGGCCCTGCATCCCTGTGCTGGCCCTGGAGGTGGCCCCTAACCCTGGCGCTGCGCGGAGGGGCCACCAGCTGGGCCGGGCCAGCTCATGCTCTCCACTCCCGCAGTGTGCAACTTCATGTCCCACGAGAAGTGCCTTAGGCGGGTGAGGACTGCGTGCCCCAGTGTGGCTCCCAGCAGAGTGAGGGTGAGTGTGGGCAGGGTGGGGCTGCCCTCTGCCCTCTGGATTGTGCCTGAGCCTGCCCTGTCCTTACCATGGGGGGTGGGCGCCATTCAGGGTGGCCTCCGTCCAGGGGTGGGGTTGGGTCCTTGGTCCACAGGGCCTGGCAGGGGCCAGGTTTCCAGGAAGTCCCTGTGTGGGTGCTGGGCTGGGCCCACACCAGGCCCATGTGAGGTGCGTGGGGGAGGGCATTGAGGCCGCCCTGCCCTGCTATGCGCTGACCGCCTCACTCTCAGCTGGGATGGAGGACCAGCATCAGCACGCCCCCTCAGGGACCTCCATCTGGGCATCCTGGATTCTGTTGTTAAACACAGGAGTGTGTGTTGGTGAAATTGAGGGGTGCTGCACAAGGCTTGAAAAAGGACTTTAACATCTATTTTACTTAAAAGGTCAAGTGAGAGGGAGAGAGACCAGATTTCCACAGCTCCTCAGATGTCGGGCCAGCCAGGGTGGAGCCTGGAGCTCTGAGTAGGAGCAGCTGGCGGGAAGAAGTGCAGAGAGAGCACACTTGGGCACACGGGCAGTGCTGACACACAGGGCACACTTGGGCACACAGGGTCATGCTGGCACACAGGGCACACACAGGGTACATACGGGCAGTGCTGACACACAGGGCACACTTGGGCACACACGGGCGGTGCTGACACACAGGGCACACTTGGGCACACACAGGGTCATGCTGGCACACAGGGCACACGGGCAGTGCTGACACACAGGGCACACTTGGGTACACACAGGGCACAAACAGGGCCGTGCTGACACACAGGGTACACACAGGGTCATGCTGGCACACAGGGCACACACGGGCAGTGCGGACACACAGGGCACACATGGGCAGTGCTGACACACAGGGCACACTTGGGTACACACAGGGCACAAACAGGGCCGTGCTGACACACAGGGCACACTTGGGCACACACAGGCAGTGCTGACACACATGGCACACTTGGGTACACACAGAGCACAAACAGGGCCGTGCTGACACATAGGGCACACTTGGGCACACACATGGGCAGTGCTGACACACAGGGTATACACAGGGTCATGCTGGCACACAGGGCACACACGGGCAGTGCGGACACACAGGGCATACTTGGGCACACATGGGCAGTGCTGACACACAGGGCACATTTAGGTACACACAGGGCACACATGGCACACACAGGGCCGTGCTCTCACACAGGGCACACTTGGGCACACATGGGCAGTGCATACACAGTGTACACACAGGGCACATTTGGGCACACACAGGGCCGTGCTGACACACAGGGCACACTTGGGCACACATGGGCAGTGCTGACACACAGGGCACACACAGGGCAGTGCTGACACACAGGGCACACTTGGGCACACACAGGGCAGTGCTGACACACAGGGCACACACGGGCAGTGCTGACACACAGGGCACACTTGGGCACACACAGGGCAGTGCTGACACACAGGGCACACACGGGCAGTGCTGACACACAGGGCACACTTGGGCACACACAGGGCAGTGCTGACACACAGGGCACACACGGGCAGTGCTGACACACAGGGCACACTTGGGCACACACAGGGCAGTGCTGACACACAGGGCACACTTGGGCACTCATGCTCCTCCTTGAGGACCTTCCTCCTCTCTGCAAGGCCTGCCAGGCAGGGCTCCCTCCATCTGTGCCCAGTATGCTGTCCCTATAGGCAAACACATGCCCTGTCCTGGCCTTCCCTGGGACAGGCTCCCTGGCCTGGGGATGGCCCCTGGCAGTCCACTGCAGGCGGGCGGCAGGGCAGTGGGGCAGGTCCCTGTGGTTCTCTCCCCTTGCCCTCAGGTTCCTGTGGCCCATTGCTTCGGTCCCCGTGGGCTGTATAAGCGCAGATTCTGTGCCGTTTGCCGCAAGGGCCTGGAGGTGCCTGCGCTGCGCTGCGAAGGTACCACCCACACCCCTGGTCTGGGCCTCCTGCCCACCCTGCAGCCCGGCATGGCTGAGGAGGCGCAGGGTGCTGGGTGAGGGAGAGGTGGGTGTGGAGTAGCCCCTGGCAGAGAGGGGCAGAGGTGCTGCCCCGCGCGAGGCCCTCACCCTGCCCGCCCCCCAGTATGCGAGCTGCACGTTCACCTCGACTGTGTGCCCTTCGCCTGCAGCGACTGCCGCCAGTGCCACCTGGACAGGCACCATGACCACGTAAGCGTTGGGGCGGACAGGGTGGGGTTGGGGTGGCACTGTTGGCTGGCCAACCCAACCTCCCATCTCTGCAGGAACAGACCCCGCGCCCACACCATTGGCGGGAGGGGAACCCGGTGCCTGGCGCACGCTGTGAGGCCTGCAAGCGGACATGTGGCTCCTCAGATGTGCTGGCTGGCGTGCACTGCGAGTGGTGCGGCCTGCAGGTGCGTGTGGGTACGGGGAAGGGTGGTACAGGCAGTCCTGGGGCACAAGTGCAGGTACTGGCCTGGGCATGGGTACTGGCGTGGACATGGGGTCCGGTCACATCCACGCCCCCAGGCCCACTCGTCCTGTTCCGTGATGCTTGCCTCCGAATGTACATTTGGGCACCTGCGTTCCATGCTGCTGCCGCCTGCCTGTGTGCGCCTGCTGTCCCGCAACTTCCGCAAAACGCATTGCTTCCGCATTGCTGAGGCCCCAGAACCCGGTAAGGTATGGGGCCCCAAGCTTTGGGATGGAGGGTAGGTGGCACCATGGCCGAGAAGGCCACTCGGTGACTGGTCCCACACCTCCCGCAGGCGAGGGTGATGCTGAGGACAGCGCTGGCAGGGAGGTGCCTGGGTCCCCAGAGTCTGGTGAGCTTCCTGCCTGCTCCACGTCCCCACCACATGCCCCTTGTCGCGCGTCCTCGGGCTCCCACCCTGCCCTTGGTCTGCCCCGCTGGCCCTCACAGCTGCCTCTCTGGCCCAGGCAAGCTGACCATGAAGATCTTCGATGGGGATGACGCCTTAAGGAGGAATCGTTTCCGGTTAGTCACCGTCTCCCGCCAGGCCAGGAGTGAGGAGGTGCTGGTAAGAAGGAAGGTGTCTACAGGGCTCTATGTCTATCCCTACCCGACCCCACTCCTCCCTGTCCCCGCCCCTGCCCCCCTCCCCGCCCTGATCCCACCCCCTCCTTGCCCCACCCCACTCCTCCCTGTCTCACCCACCCTCCCTTTCCTGATCCTGCCCCTTCCTGCCCTGACTCCCTCCTCACTCTGCTCTGCAGGAGGCAGCACTGCGGGCCTACTACCTCAGCAAGGACCTGGGTGATTTCGAGCTGCAGGCACTGCCCCTGGCCCCCCAGGCTTGCCAGACTGGCAGTTCGGCCACGGAGGGAGAGGAGGAGGGCAGCAGGGGACCCCCCGAGGCCCAGGTCCTCCGGGTGCGGCCCAGGGCCCAGGAGTCCCTCAGCATCTACTCTGGTTGGCTCGAGTGAGAGCTGGGGCCGGCAGGGCTAAGTGGGAGGGGGTGGAGGGGTTGTGGCTGCAGCTTTGGAGCTTGTCCCTGCAGGGTGGGCGAGGCCTGCGTGTCTGTGCTGGTCACTATGCAAAGCACTGTGGACACCGTGGTGCAGGAGGCACTGCAGCTGCTTGGCCGCCAGGTGCGTGAGCAGGACGTGCCCCATGTATGGGGCCGAGGGGAGCGGGCTGGCCAAAGGCTGGGCATCCCTGGGGGATGGGGAAAGTAGAGAAAGTGTGTGGGGAAAGTAGAGTGATCAGTGGTGCTGGGTGACCAGTGGCTCGGCCTGGTGGCCCCTGCCTTGCAGGTGGAGGATCCCGGGAGCTTCCAGCTGGAGGAGGTGTTCATGGGTAGCCGGCGAGGTGAGAGAAGCCCTGGCCCCTCCTCGGCCACCCCTGCCCGGGGCCTTGGTGGGTGCCTGGTGGGCAGGCCCTGTTGTGAGTGGGCGGGGCCTGATGTGAGTGGACAGGGCCTGTCATGGTTGGGCGGGCTCTGATGCAGGTGTGCAGGCCCTGTTGTGGGTAGGTGGGCCTTGTTGTGGGTAGGCAGTGCCTGGTGAGGGCTGTGCCTCTCTTGCAGTCCAACGGACAATACTAGCCCCTGAGGAGCTCCTACTTGAGCGACTTCGGATGATCCGGAAGGTCAGTGGCTGCAGACGCCGGCCTAGGGTGCCTCAGCCCCCTTCCACGGCCTCTGGGCTCTCTTGTGGTGTTTGACACGCCAGCTGTGGGTCATAGTACCACAGGTCTTGCTATCTCTGAGGGTGGACAGGGTAGCCCCAGGCCTGAAGGTGGCTCAGCAGTGTGGGGGTACAGAGGAGCCCAGCCAGTCCCCACTTTGTGTTACAAGGGTACAGGGGAGCCGAGCCTGGTTCCTGTCCTGTGTTGTAGGGGACAAGGGAGCCCACTCCCTCCCAAATCTCACCCCACAGACCTCAGTGCAGCAGTTTGGCCAGACGCGGTTCTATGTGGTGGAGGCCAGGGTCGTGGCCCCCCGGGTCTCCTTGTTCATCGGCGGCCTCCCACCTGACCTGTCCTCTCAGGAGTACAGTGACCTGCTGCACAAAGCCATGGCCACCAAAGGTGTGACCCCAGGCAGTTCTGACCTCCTGCCCAGGCTGCTGCTCAGCCTCCCTAACCATTCACTGGGGTTTCTGGTCTCTGCCTATCCCTCGGGCGGACCCCGGACTGGGGGCTCTGGTCCTCTACTGACATGCGCCCTTCCTTGCAGCTGCCGTGGTGTCTGTGAGCCACATCTATGCCTCCCAAGGTGAGCCGTTGGGGTGCAGGGGCAGGGGGCCCTCACTGCCTCGGCCCAGGCGGCCTGGGCTGAGCAGCTGCCTGCCCGCCCAGGGGCCGTGGTACTGGACGTCACCTGTTTTGCGGAGGCTGAGCGACTGTATATGCTGGCCAGGGACACAGCTGTGCAGGGTCGGCCACTGACGGCCCTTGTGCTCCCAGAAGTGCTGGTGAGTGGCTAGCCTGGGTCCCCGTCTGGACTCTATCCCTGCACCTCACTGTGACTGCCTCTGGCAGGCATGACTTCACTCCAGCTCGGTACCTAGAAGAAGGGGTGTCCAGGGCAGGGAGTGGGGTAGGTGGCAGGCACAGACCAACACCCCACTTGCTGCCCTGGACCACGTGGCCACACCCGGGCCCTTGGGCTGAGCTCACTGTGTCTCCTGCCTGGGCATTGGGAGCCCTGAGTGGGGGGGAGGGTCATGCCAGGGCTGCCTCATGAGCTGGCTTGTGGCACCCAGGAAGCAGGCAGGCATGGGCATTCGTGCTGGGTGCTGCTTGGTCTCGTGGTCCTCTGGTCAGCATCGAGCTATTGCCTGCCTGTCAGTCTTTGCTCGGGGCAGGCCTGGCCTATGGCCCCACCCTAACCCACCCTGCCTCTTAGCACACGAAGCTGCCCCCAGACTGCAGACCCCTCCTGGTGTTGGTGAACCCCAAGAGTGGGGGCCTCAAAGGCCGGGACCTGCTTAGCAGTTTCCGGAAGCTGCTGAACCCCCACCAGGTCTTCGAGCTGACTAATGGGGGTCCTCTTCCAGGGTGAGTCTGGACTCCCCCTCTTCCTGCACACCTGCCAGAGGGGACTTCCTCCAGGTGGGAGTTGGAAGAGGAAGGGGCTTCCTGGGCCATGGGGTGGGCACCCTGAGGGCATCCAGCCTCCCTGTGGACAGTGAGGTACACTTGTCTCCTGCTGGCAGGCTCCACCTCTTCTCCCGGGTGCCCTGCTTCCGGGTGCTGGTGTGCGGCGGAGACGGCACTGTGGGCTGGGTGCTCGCTGCCCTGGAGCAAACACGGCAGCAGCTGGCTTGTCGAGAGCCTTCTGTGGCCATCCTGCCGCTGGGCACAGGTGGGAGAAGCTGCCAAGCTGGAGGAGGGGACCCCTAGGCTTGTCCCTTCTGGTCTGTTTATCCTGTGGTGTCCCATGGTGCTCCTGTCCTGTGATGACTCGGGTGGGGGGCTCCTGTCCTGTGATGGCCTAGGATGGCTGGGGGCAGGGTGTCCCTGCCCTGTGGCACCTCTTTCACATGGAGTCCCCGTTCTGCCCAGGGCAGGTGGCCGGGCTGTCACTCTGTCTCTTGGGTTCCAGGCAATGACCTTGGTCGGGTCCTGCGCTGGGGTGCAGGCTACAATGGAGAAGATCCCCTGTCTATGCTGGTGGCAGTGGATGAGGCAGACGCTGTGCTCGTGGACCGCTGGACCATCCTGTTGGACGCCCAGGAGGCTGGTGGTGGGGAGAATGGTCTGACTGACCTGGAGCCCCCTAAGGTACCCTGGGGCGGCTGTGGCCCTGGGTGGGGTAGTCCCGACCAAGGAGGCACTGTGCTGGGGCCAGAGCAGCTGGCCCCCTTGAGGGGCCTCACTCAGGGTGTGGGCCTTGGCCCCTTGAGAGGGCTCAGGGTGCAGGTCCTCATCTCCTTGAGGAGGCTCGGGGTGCAGGTCCTAGCAAGCCCTTGTACCCAGGTTGTGCAGATGAGTAACTACTGTGGAATCGGCATTGACGCAGAGCTCAGCCTGGACTTCCATCAGGCACGGGAGGAGGAACCCGGCAAGTTCACCAGCAGGTGCAGGGGCATCCCCCAAAAGCATGGTCCCTGGGGTGCTGCTGAGGGCTGCTCCCATGACTGGCGTGTCCCTGCAGGTTCCATAACAAGGGCGTGTATGTGCGGGCTGGGCTGCAGAAGATGAGCCAGGCGCGCAGCCTGCACAAGGAGCTGAGGCTGCAGGTGGAGCAGCGGGAGGTGGAGCTGCCGAGCATCGAGGGGCTTATCTTCATCAACATCCCTAGGTCGGGGGCGGGAGGGGAGCAGCCCCTGAAGCGGCCTCAAGCAAGGGCCTGGGAGTGGCTAGTCTGGCCCGACTGGTCACCTCACTTTCTGTTTTGGGGCAGCTGGGGCTCGGGTGCCAACCTGTGGGGTTCCGACAGCGACCCAAGGTTTGAGAGGCCACGCATGGATGATGGGCTGCTGGAGGTGGTGGGTGTGACGGGAGTTATACACATGGTGAGTGCATACAGGGGACATGCGGCACCCATGGGCGCTGCTGACCCTGTCCCTCCCACTCCCTAGCAGGGTCAGGTGTAGGGTGGGCTGGGTGACCAGGGTCAGGGTGCTCATGGACCCTGCTGACCTACCCTCTTGCTCCTGCACAGGGCCAGGTGCAGGGTGGACTGCGCTCTGGGATCCGCATTGCCCAGGGCTCCTACTTCCGCATCACGCTCCTCAAGGCCACGCCTGTGCAGGTGGATGGGGAGCCTTGGGTCCAGGCCCCTGGACACATCATCATCTCTGCCGCAGGCTTCAAGGTGTGCCAGGCACAGGTGGGGGGTGTAGGTGGGGTACAGCCCCTGGGCCTCACCCAGGCTGTGGGTGCTGCTGCACGTTACCAGTTGGGACACCTGTGCCATGTCCCTTCCACCCGCCTCACTACAGGTGCACATGCTGAGGAAAGCCAAGAAGCCCAGGAAGGCCACTGCCTCCAGGGACAGCCATGCTGACGGGCTGACCCTTGAAGGGGACCCCAAGTAGTGGAGCTGGTCACCAGCACCATCTGTCCCCTGCCCATCTGGGTGTAGGGGCCAGCCAGGTGGACATGGTAGCTTCCAGGCCTATGGAAACCACTGGACTCCTGGGCCTAGGGTCAGGACAGTTCCTGGGAGGGAGCCCTCCAGCTAGGCTGTGCTGAGTGTAGGCCGTGTGTCCACCCTGGTGAGTGCTCCTGGCTGGATGGGCATCTCATGTGCTGACCTTAGCAGGGCAGATGGTGGCAGTAGTGAGTGCGGTGACATAGGCAGCAGAGGGGTCTCTGTCCACTGGGCAGGCATCCAGTGCCCACAGACCCACCTGCCGCACTCTACACATGGGCACAGGCTCTCCCAGTCTGTCCTTTGGGGTATGCTTGCGAAGTCCCTCCTGCCACAAACCCCATGGTGTGCCCTGAGGCTGTCTGGATGCTGCTGGATCTGCAGCACTGTGCTGCCCTGGGGGCAAGGGCCCTGCTTCTGCCAAAACTGCCAACCAATGTATTGTGCCAGTGTGGTCTCCGCGCACCCTATGTCCTTGGCTATCCAGTTCTCGCTGTGCAAGCCCCAGGGTTGGTCTATGGTTATGTCCTGTCTGTTCCCCTTTGTGCCTGTTGGGGCTGTGGCCCTGTATGCTTGTCCCCTCTTGTGTAATGTCGTGTACCTGAACAGAACTGATTTATGTCCAGGACCAATACAGTCAGGCCCGGCTGCCTGCAGCATCCTGCCTGGGCCTCTGTCATGCAGTGGGTGGATGGGTGGGGCGGATGTGTGTGTGGGAGGGCTTGGTTCTGTGTGTATGTGAGTGGGCTGGGTATCTGGCAGTCCCAGCAGGTACATGCAGGGAGGGCCAGGCTGATCATGGAGGTGTCCAGCAGCAGTGGCTGTGACCTCCAACCCCTGGCTCCCTGGGGTGTACTTCCTGTGGAGGGGGTGGGGAGGGGAGTGTGAGCACACAGATTGCTGCTGGCTCTGCAAACAGGACAGCTCACATGGTTAAGATACACAATGTGGTATTTTCACCAAGAAAACAGCTCAGGCCCTGTGGAGCCCCTGTCATAATTCCTAGCAGGGCTCTGGCAACAGAGGGGAGTGCAGGTCAGGCTCGCCCCGGGGCTGGGCTGGCTGGGCCAGGCCCCGCAGGGTGCTCAGGGCGGCCAGGGTGAGGCGCAGACCAAGGCGCAGCAATAGGAAGCCGAGCGGCACGGCGATCTGTGTCAAGTGGAAGATGAAAGTGCTGAAGCGGCTGAGCAGGCAGGTAGCGGCGAAGGCCAGCAAGCTGGAGCAGGGGTACAGGGCCAGCTTGGCCAGCATGAAAGTATGCTCAGGGCCGCCAAAGTGCACGGCCGGCCGCAGCGTCTCCATCTGGTGCAGCAGAGCCGCTGTCCAGATGGCCAGCTGGAAGATGCTGGCCAGGAAGATGATGGCACAGCTCACCCGTACACGCTCCAGTTCGTCCTGCGGCTGGCGGGCAAAGGCCGAGGTCTGTTGGTAGGCCAGGGGCAGGCCACCCACAAAGGCTAGTGAGAGGGCGTTGAGCAGCCCCATGGCCCACGTGGCCTTGCGCATGTGCAGGAAGAGTGAGTGATGGGTAAACCACAGCAGGCCCACAGTGGCAAAGGAACCAAAGTAGGCCAGGAAGCGTGGTCCACGTGCGCCCAGGGCCGCCAGCAGGCTGCCACCGAAGTCTGTTGCCACCGCTTTGGGGTCAGGGACGCTGTCGGCGCTGTGGGGTGGGAGAAGTGTTCAGATGTGGGACTGCGCAGCCTGACGGGCTGAGGGGGACCACTAAGCAGCAGCCCTGGGCAGCCCAGGATGGAGGCAGTGCAGCCCCTTAGGAAGGGACCCTGGTGCCCCTGGCATTGGGAAAGGACCAAGCATCTGCTTCTAAATCTTGGAGATTCAGAAGACTGGGGTGAGGGGAATGGTGGGCAGGTACTGGCAGCTGAAGGCATGTGTGTGGGCTGGGAGAACCCTGCAGAGGGCAGCCAGGGCACGTGTGTGGGCTGGGAGAGCCCTGCAGAAGAGGCAGCCAGGGAACATCCCACAAAAGCTCCTGGGCAGTGGCCTCACCAGATGTCCAGGATGAGCAGCGTGGCCACAATGGCGTAGACGCCATCGCTGAAGGCTTCCACTCGCTCCTTGCTTAGTGGCTCCTGTAGATCCAGGGTAAAGAACTCGACATGGGGAGCTGGGGGTTCTACTCGGCCTGCAAACAAGCCGGGGGACAGTGGCTGGTCAGAGAACAGCCACTCATGAAGTTGGGGTGGACAGCCAGGGTCCCAACCCAGCCTGAGGGCCCAAGGTCCACCTACCCGTGAGCCGGTCCCTGCACCAGCTGGCCACCTTGCTGACATACGGGAGAAAGACGACGGAGGCCATCAGCAGATAGGACTGTGGGCAGAGCCATGGGTGAGTGGGCAGGGCTGTCTGCAGGGACAGCAGGAGCCCAGCGCAGCCCGTGGAACATGCCAGCCCTTGGGCACATGGTCCTCACTGAGGGCCACAGTAGTCAGGGAAGTGCCTGGGGGTCCCCTGCAGCCTCCTTTGGGGGTGGGGATTTGTCATGGGCCACAGCCAGCACACTCTGGGTGTTTGTCCTCAGAGATGCCTGAAGACTGACCTTACAGGGTGCCAGGCTGCCAGCCTGGCCTTGGCCAGACTGTGCCCTGGGAGCATCACTGTCCTGAGCAGCCCCCTAGCCCTTCACCCCACCCAGTGTCCAGCGTCTTGGACACTGCACATGTCAGGACGGAGCTGGCACTACGGGCAGACGTTAGTTGCTGCCACCAGGCTCATGGGGTGCTGTTTACCTTGCCTCTTGCCCTCTTGACCAGGTCTTGCTGGGGCTATGGTCAGAGGTGCCTGGCAGCCCTCAGCCCTGGCCATGCACATGTTCAGCTTGCCGGGTGAACCCTGGCATCCTGGACAGGCAGCCTGAGCAGCTTCCCAGGAGCCACCCCTGTACTGTCCCCTCCCAGGTCTTCACTGCAATGACATTCTTTCCCTGTTTAAGATCTATTTTACTTGAAAGGCAGAGTTATAGAGAAAGAGCTTCCATCTGCTGATTCACTCCCCAAATGGCCACAACAGGTTGAGCTGAGCTGATCCGATCTGAAGTCAGGAACTTCTTCCGGGGCTCCCACAGAGGTGCAGGGTCCCAAGGCTTTGGGCTGTCCTCCACTGCTTTCCCAGGCTACAAGCAAGGAGCTAGATGGGAAGTGGGGCAGCGTGACAGGAACCAGTGCTCACACAGGATGCTGGTGCTACAGGTGGCTGCTCAGTCCCCTGTACCACAGTGCCAGTTCCCAGATTGATATCCTGACATTCTCATGAAAAATGAGCTGGAGAGCACCAGTGCCATGGCACAGCTGGCACTGTGCATGGCAGTGTCGGTTCAAGTCCAGGCTCTGCTTCTGATGCAGCCTCCTAGTGACGGGTCTGGGAAAGCAGTGGAGGGTGGCCCAAGGGCCTGGGTGCCGCTGAGACCAGCCTAGGCTGATGACGCTGTTTGAGGAGGGAACCGACAGATGGAAGATCTTGGTCTCTATCATCCAGCAAATTTTTTCTTTTTAAGATTTATTTTAGGGCCCGGCTCGATGGCGCAGTGGTTTAGGTCCTCACCTTGCACGCCCGGGATCCCATATGGGCGCCGGTTCTAATCCCGGCAGCCCCGCTTCCCATCCAGCTCCCTGCCTGTGGCCCGGGAAAGCAGTCGAGGACAGCCCAAAGCCTTGGGACCTGCACCCACGTGGGAGACCCAGAAGAGGTTCTTGGCTCCTGGCTTTGGATCGGCTCAGCTCCAGCCGTTGTGCTCCCTTGGGGAGTGAATCATCGGACGGGAGATCTTCCTCTCTGTCTCTCCTCTCTGTATATCTGCCTTTCCAATGAAAAAATAATAAAAAAAATCTTTAAAAAAAAAACGATTTATTTTATTTGAAAGATATACAGAGAGGAGGAGAGACAGGAAGATCTTCTGTCTGTTGATTCACTCCCCAAATGGCTGCAACAGCTGGAGTTGCATTGATCCAAAGCCAGGAACCTCAAGCCTCTTTCGAGTCTCCCATGTGGATGCAGGGTCCCAAGGCTTTGGGCCGTCCTCGACTGCTTTCCCAGGCCACAAGCAGGGAGCTGGATGGGAAGTGGGGCTGCCAGGATTAGAACCAGCGCCCATATGGGATCTTGGCAACTAGACTACCATGCTGGGCCCAAATCTTTTGTTTTTTAATACTTTTTTCCCCGAGTCTCCCACATGGGAGCAACGTCCCAGGACTTTGGACCATCTTCCGCTGCTTTCCCAGGATGGGAAGTAGAGCGGTGCCCATAAGAGATCCTGACAGATGTAAGGAAAGGATTTAGCTGCGGGGCTATGATACCCGGTGCTAAATCAGCAAAGCTTTCAGAAAGGAACTGCTGGGGGCCAGTGTTACACGTTAAGCCACTACCTGCGGTGCCAGCATCCCAGAGCAGCACTAGTTTGAGTCCTGGCTGCTTCATTCATGATCCAGCTTCCAGGAAAGCAGCAGGCTCATGTCCTTGGGCCCTGCACCCTAGTGGCCACTTGGGGAGTGGAAGATTTGTCTTCTCTGTGTAAATCTGCCTTTCCTCTCTATATACATATACATATGTAGTAAATACATGTAAGATATGTAATAAATAAAAAGCTATCAGCCTCAGGAGGTCGTATGATGTGGGTGGCACCCTGGGACTCACAGCTGAGCCGCCCCACCAGGCCCCCACATGGTGCCCCACCTGTAGCCAGGCCCCTCCTGTTTCTTGGTGGAAGAGGGGACATGTTTCTGGAACCTTCCCTGTCTGCTCTTCACACCCCCCCACTGACACGTGGTGCTTCTTGTCTTGGAGCAGTCTCCTCTGCTGCCTCACTGTGGCAACACTCACCATGGGAAAGAAGAAGAGAGAGAAGAGGGCCGCGGCAGCGCAGAGCACCGGGCCACGCAGGACAATGTGCAGGACCTGGCGGCGGCATAGTGCCCGGTGGGCAGAGCAGCGGATCCGTGGGCTCAGCAGGTGCGGGAAGTGGAAGGCATAGGCCACGATCAGTGCCTGTGGGAGAGGCAGGGGGCACAGGAGAGCTGGCACGCCAGAAGGCTGGGCAG